CCTTGAAAGCTTCTCCCAGGACAAATTGAAGCCGACCGCATGGCGCTCTTCGTAATGGCTGCCAATCCTGGGACGATTCTCCCTGATGAGGCTGTCGTATCGGCCACCCGCGGCAAACACATCCTTCATCTTCTTGTCGTAGAGGCAGGAGAATAGAGTCCCGCCAGTATAGAAGCTCTCTTTCAGACTGTTCAACGGCGTGACGTATATCTTGCTTGTAACCCCGAGTCTCTTAGCATACTCCGAGACCTCTCTCAGATGCGCCAGAGTCGAAGAAGCTCGCTGATACATGTCAGTGCCCTCAAAGAGTGTCTTGAGCTTGGAGAAGGCCTTCGAGGGTGTGTCTAATTCCTATTAGCATTCGACTCAAAGCACAAGAAACAGAAGTCGGCAAACCTCGGAAGTCAAATCGTTGTAACTCATCTACACTGGTTGCTGAGAGGCCGACCAGTGGAGAACGCAGCTGGGCTCTGATCTTCTGCCAGGACCAGTGATGGATATTGAGCTTGCTGAGTACATCTGCCACAGCCCTTCGGGAGCTATGCTCAACGCGACAATAGTCAAAGATTAGCTGTAGCAAGTCGGAATGTCCGAGATGGAAACACATCTGGCTCGTAGAAAGTGACGGAAACGTGGCAATGATCTCATCGAGTACTTTGAGGACCTCAGCCTCCTTCAGGGCCAAGTCTAGGGTGTTAGTCGTGACGATGTCGAAGTCCACTTCGCCCAGCATGTACGGTTGCCCAGTGTCCCCCTTATCACGGAAAATGTTGCCAAAAGTGTATGTGCGCTGGACGCCCGGAGTCCCGCTGGCTTTGGCAAGCATTCTGGCGTGGCCCATCGTGAGATCAAATGGCAGCTGCAGAACGGTGCCGTTCGAATCCAGGAGTCTCATAACGTTCTCTGCATAGTGGGACGACCGCGGATAGAGGCAGGTGCGCTGACACTCCAAAGCTCCGTGTCGGCGAAAGATGGAAACCAGTGTTTCCTTGACGATGCTTTGGTTGAGCAAGTCTGCTTGGCTGGGGCTCGCCTCATGCATATCCCAGGCGAAATCTTTGGCTTGCTCCAGAGGCCGTGAGAAAAGTGTCGAAAGCATCTTCTTGTAGTAAGGCGAGCTGGGGTCAGCTAGACCAGCCAATGTTCGTCTGATGGTCTCGCTTTCCATTTGCACGGGAAGTTTTCCACTTTGCAGCAACTCTGCACTCGATGGTCGTTCTTTGGGATTGTGGGTGATCAGAGACAGGACGATATCCGTTTGTATCTTCTCAGCAGGCTTGAAATCCACAGGGAGCTCGGGACTAGTTCGCCGGAGCTTCTCGAGAACTTCTGCTCTCTGCATGCCCAGCATCGGGGGATAACACATTTCGAAGAAAATGATACCCAAAGAGTACATCTGAACAGTGTCAGCGCCATCGCAACAAACACGTCACAAAACAGTTACGCAAGATACTTACGTCAACTTTGGAGCTGTACATCCCGCTAGATCCGGATCGCACTTCCGGCGCAGCGTACGACGTAGTCCCGATACTCCTGGTAATATCGTCCGACTCCATGGCATTGGGAAGAGCCCTATCGACCGCAAACTGGCCGCTAGTGGCCAGCCCAAAGTCTCCGATCTTGACATTGTCCGTCCCATCACTGCTGTGAGCAATGAAAATATTTTCAGGTTTTAGGTCTCGGTGAACGATACTAAGGCCGTGGATATGGGCTAGTCCCTCGAGGACCTGACGGAAAAGACGCCATATTTCTGGCGTGTTTTGGTAGAGTTTCCGAGTGATCAAATCACGTAATGTCTATCGTCGTCAGTCTCGCCAACGGATTCGCAGGCGGTGTATTCTGCGCGGTATAGAGACTCACCCTCTTTTCGCAATACTCCATGGAAATGTACAAGACAGTCCTGAAAGATCGTTGAGGCCTGATTCTCCTCTGGATTTCCCTGCTTCTTGGACCGTTTCCGATTGCCTGACTGCTGTCGTCGTCATTTGAGTCGGTTTCATCTGAGTCGTCTTCCTCGTCATCTTCCTCGTCTTCTTCAGATTCTTCTTCGGCGTCCGAGTCGTCGTAACCAAACTCTACTTGTGGGTAGCCGCTCGAAGACATAAAGTCCAAGCCGCCGGTGCTGGTAGCAAAGTGGATCGCCGGGTCCTGCGAAATGGTATCGCGAGAGTCTTCCGTGTTCAGATCTTCCGTGGAGGTGTCTCCTTCCGTGTCAGACTGATCTGGTATCTCCTCGACCCAAGTGTTGTAGTAGCGCACCACAGCCGGGTGACTGAGCTGTGATAGCAGACGCACTTCTTTCAGAATTTCCGTCAAACTTGCTTGAGATCTTTGGCTGATCTTCTTGATGGCGTAAATCTGCCCATCCAGCTTCTTCCGGGCTTTGACAACCTCGCCGAATCCTCCTTTACCCAGACGGCCTTCCTCATCAAAGTCTTCCCGGTATCTCGACGAAGTGAGAGTTCTATTCGTTGACTCGCGTCTTAATCTCGGAGGTATTGGCGATAGGGCGTTTACGGAGTGATAGTTTGATGCAATTGAGGTAGTGTCCTCAACGATCACAGGGGCGTCGGTGGCGAGGAACTCGCTTGAGCCAAGTTCGAAAGCACGCGGTCGTTTCTTAGGGTCTGGTTTGAAGAATCTAGTCACCAACTCCTGCAAAGGCCGCGATAGAGACATGGAGTCGGAGACAGCAGAGGGTGAATGGTATTTTTGAGGCACGTCAAGTCCAAATATCATTTGAAGGAAAACGATGCCAAATTCCCACATGTCCGTCTTTTGTGTGTAATGCTGCTTCGACAAAGCGGCAGTCTCTGGCGGCAGCCAATACGCAGACTTTGCAGAGCTCAACCCAACTGGCGCCTGTCCCTTGGATGAGATGTTATGCAATTCCCTCTGGTAGCCTGCGTCTGACAACTTCGGCACGACTTCTCCTGTCTGTTCTCGGAAGAGGAGCACATTTCCCGCATGAATGTCCTGATGCACCAGAGACTTGTTGTGCAGGAAGTTAAGAGCATCCAAGAGATCCCGTGTCCAGGCACGCACCTTGCTGGTGTCCAACTGGCCAGCCAAATCGAGTAGTTCGGCTAATGATCCCTTCTCAGCGCTGGGAGTGAGGACATTGACAGTCCAGAGGCTTGCTGATGCTTTCTCGACGTTGTTTTTCTCGCGCTCTACCTTGAAGTCCAAGACCTCGAGCAGGTTGCGATGGCGCACTTGTTTGAGCGCTTCCAGTTGACCTTCAAGGGATTGAATCTGCTTCTTGAATACCGAGGTGTCCTTTGAAGCCGGGCGAAGAATAGTTTCCTTGAGCGCCAAGTTAGGGCATTCTTGTCCGCTGCCAACGAGAGGCCAGACGGAGAAGACGGTTGAGATGGGTCCTTTGGCAATCTCAGACTTTCCAAAGACAGCCTGGAAGGAAATGGCATTTCCAGTCTTGTCGGTGGTCTGGCAAGGTCTGTCAAAGATTATACGGCCACTTTCGGGCCAGTTGGGGCCGTCCATTGAGTTGAGAGATGGTAGTCCTCCGTTGGGGCGATTCTTTTTTCGTGTCTCCTTGGCTTTCTCTTTTTGACGCTTCAATTCAACCTGCAACAAGCCACCGAGAACCCTCTCCTCCTCCTTGCTCTCCTCTTCCTTCTTGCGCTCCTCTGCCTGTTTCTGTTCCTCGGCTAGCTTGGCCAACGACGCCTCGTGAGCCGCTCTCTCCTCTTCCAGCGAAGGGAGTTCGAGTCCCCTGGCCTTTGCCTGGGCCGCGTCTTCGAGAACGTCTCTGAGTCCCTCTACGATACGGTCCACCATCTCCTGCTCCTCCGTGGCAAAGATCTTGGGCTCTGTCTCGAGGTACTTCTGAAGCTTGAACATAGTGACCTCGCGCAGGTTGCCAGTGTTCTTCAGCGTTAGCAGCGGCGGGCTCCTGGGATACGTAGCAGTCATCACCACGCCCAGAGTAACTGCAAAGTCTTCATCTGATGAAGCTCTGATGCGAACATCGAATGAGGGGTCAGATTTCTGTATTGAGTGTCAGCATCACTCCCTGTTTAATAGAGCCTCGCCATGTTGAAGCGGGGACGATATTGTCACTGTCATTACCTTCCAAGCACCCGGCGTCTCTGCATGCCTTATGAAATCCTCTCCATAAATGGCTTCAAGGGCGATGAGCTCGTTCTGCTGGAGCTCCTCATATTCCAATTTGGGGGCGGCCTCGGGACGCTTTGGTTTGAGTCCCGGGAAGCTTGAGTCATCTTCGTTTTTCTGCGGTTTGTCGAAGGGCTTGTTCCACACCCCGGATGATTTCCACGCCATATCGAGGACGGCGAGAAAAGGCTTGACGAATCACCACAGCGCGAGCCGTGACAGTCCGTTACGGGAAAGCCATTATTGGTACGGTGAGCAAAGTGGTTATTCAGATATAGAGATATGGATGAAGAAGAGCTAAGAAGAAAACAGGAAGAAATTACAAGCGCAAGTCTAGCCGATGAAAGCGCCACACAGCGACCATCGACGGCTGGCGGCCTGGTGCGCTGTCACAGTACGGCGCATTCGCCTTCAGCTGGGTGCCTTACCGCTGCCAAACGCTCGAAGTGGGGGTTGTCTTGGGGCGGACAAGTGCCCCTCAATCATGACGCCCATCGTTTTAGCGCTCTTTTCAGCGGGCCAAGGCGCCTGAAGCTCTGAAGAACCCTGAGACGAGGGGCAGTCGACAAAGACATGCAGTGTGTACACGGTGATTAGGCACTGTGTGTGTCCAGGGGACGAACCACGGACGCGCCATCCGTATGCGGTAACAAAGTAAACAACTGAGAACCACATCTGTTCGCCGCGGTCAGATCGCCAAAACCCGCAAACTAATTAATACCTGACCCGCCAGGACACGAGCGCATGTGATGTGATCTCGTCTGTCGGACTCCGCGCAACCTCAAACACCATTGAACCGCGCGCACATATCTACTGGCACAACCAACTTCCTCCACCGATAAGAAGCCCATAAGCAACCTAGGATGTTGGGCTGGGTTCTTAGACGAGGGTTGGAGGGCGCGTCCGGGGGAAACAAGGCAAACACAGGCGCAGGTGAGAGAGACCCAGCCAGATCAACCCTTTCTTGCCGCCGCATCGCACGGCTTTTCTAACTTCATAACAGACGACACAACACAGATTGAGCAACCAGATACGCCCGCGCCCGTCTTTGCCGCCCGCGCACTCAAAAGCGCCATCTTTGGAACACCCGCGCGACCTGACGACGACAATACTGTCAGCATGGCGCGTCGCAAGGACGAAGACGACTCTGATGCCGAGTCCCGAACCCCGATGAAACAACCTCAAGGAATCCTTCTTACCCCAGGAACCGGAACATCTCGGCGGAAGCGTGTGTCCTTTGGGCACGATGTGCTGGACAATAAGAAGATCGATAACAGAAAGGGCAAAGAAGTCGACAATGACGAACCGCCTGGGAGGTTTCCAGACAGCTTTGCAGACACAACTAGCGACTCCGCAAGCAAGCGCACCAAATTGACCGAAACAATGGAAAACTCCCGGGGCAACAAAGGAACTTCAAGCTCGCGGGAAAGGAGCCAGACGCGGACCACTGCAGCCAGGAATGACGACGCGGAGGACGAATGGGAGGAAGCCGACGACGACCAATGCATGCACGATATCACAATGGACCTTAACGAGCCCCATTCGCGGTCGGGCAAGTACTGGAAGTCGGAATTCGAGCAATACCACCAGGACGCTAAAGCCGAGATGGAGAAATTGCTCAAATACAAGCAGCTTGCCAAGTCGTATGCCAAGATGAAGGACGCCGAGGCTATCGACCTCAACGCCAAACTCAGGGAAGAGCAAGAAAAGGCTGCTAAGATGGAGAAGAAGATCTCCGACATGGCAGCGCAGATTGCCGCGAAGCAGCGAGCCAGTGGCGCAGAGAGAGACAACCCCCAGCTGATTAAGGACTTGGCCAAACAAACGGCCGTTGCTGTCGAATACCGGACGCAGGTGCAGGAACTAGCGGCACTTCTAGAGAACCGCGAAAACGGCGAAGACGACGAAGGGGATGCACGAAGCAGGCGCCGGCGGCAGGCTGCGTCACCACGAACACACAAGACCTTGCTCGAGGCCCAGCGAGAGTTGAGAAAGGCTAGAACACAAGTCAAAGAGAATGGGCAGTTACGGGAGGAAGTTGAGCGGCTCAAATCCGACCTCCTGTTTGCCGAGCAACGAGCAAACAAGCTCGCTGAAGAAAACAAACGACTTGCAGAGCAACATCCGTTACAGAACAAGGAACAAGGCAAAGACTCCACGGCATCGGGGAAGCGCGTGGATGAGCTGGAGGAGGCGATTCGGAAAAAAGACGATGAGTTACGCAAGTTGAAGTCGGAGTTCGAGACTTACAGGACGGATGCCGAGGCCACGCAAGAAGACACGCGGCGTATCTTGGAAAAGGCAACGGAGAAGATCAACTATCTTAAGAGGGAAAACAAGACTCTCAAAGCAGGAACAGCTGATGTGCCCAAGACGAAGAGCACCGCCGCTCCGCCTGAACGGGAGCCTACTGCCAGGGAACACCGCGCTCAAGAGACTGATCGCTTCACTGCGGATCACAAGAGCCGCAAAACTTCGGGCGAGACAGGCCGTCGGAGCTTCGACCTGGTAGAATCGCTCGGCAAAAAGCTCAACGAGCCAAAGTCTCAAAACCTCCGGGACAAATACCAACGAGACGCGGACTCTCTCAGCTCAGATGATGAGCCACCCGCAAGGGAGCCGCCGAGACGCCCTCAGTCGGAGATCTTTTCGAACCGTGTCAACCTGGACAAGCCTAAGTGGCGACCTTTCATCCCAAGGTCCCCCCGCAACAGAGAATACCTAGGTTCTGACCTCAACGACCGAATCGTCACGTCGAGCGAGGTTCCGACAGGCAGCACGCCGGCACCGCGACACAGGTTCTCCAGCAAGGACAAGGACGCTCCAATCGATCTGCTACAGGATCGATTTGCCCGGCTAGGGGGACCAGGCGAGCCTGATATTGAGGCAAGCACCATGCTGGCGGCGAACATGTCAAAGAGCACATTACCTCCGCAGAGACGAGCAGCAGCCATTGCGCGAATAGAACAGAGAAAGGCCGACAAGAGGCGCGCGGCGTCGGGCCAGAGCAACAACAAGGAGAATATGCGACCACAGCGCTCATGATATTAATTCGCATGGTGGGGCGCTCACGTCCTTCGCCCTTTTGCGTGTATGGAGTTTTGGTTGGAGGGATATAATTCAGGCATTATTGTACGAGTAGTCTTTTTGACCACCAAAGATGATAGCATGGAGTTTGGCGGGGGTATCATATCAACTCGGATTATTCAAATGATTCCAAGAAACCTCTCTCTCCCCCAGGCAGTGTCCCCATGATTTGCATTTGTTTTACCATGTTTTTTGCTTTTATCTCCTTCTCTTTTTAACCATTTTCTTATGCGCTCAAGGTTCCCTTGGTGCTAGGCACCTCGCCCTCCTTACCAGCGACGCGGCTGGTAGCCATCTTGACGGCGACGGCGAGGGCCTTGAAGGCGCTCTCTGCGCGGTGGTGGTCGTTTTCGCCGCGGAGGCAGTCGACGTGGAGGGTGATTCGGGCGCCCTGGGCGAAGCTCTGGAGGCAGTGGGGGATCATCTCGCACGAGAGGTCGCCAATCCTTTCGCGGCGGAGGCCGAGCTCGACGACGCTGTAGGGCCGGTTGGAGAGGTCGACGACGGCGCGGGAGAGGGCCTCGTCGAGGGGCGCGTAGGCGTAGCCGAAGCGGGCGAGGCCGGTTGCGCTGCCGAGGGCGGCGGCGAAGGCGTAGCCTAGAGCTATGCAGACGTCTTCTGCTGTGTGGTGGTCGTCGACTGTGTAAGGGGAGATTGGGTGTAAGTGGGCGGTTGTCTTCATATGAAAAAAGTTTGTCACTGTTCCTAGGGAGACGAACTGTGAAGGTCACCCTTGCAGGCGAGGGCCAGACTCCAGCCAGCGTGCTTGGAGAGGGCGTGGAGCATGTGGTCGAGGAATCCGATGCCTGTGTTGACGCTGATGGTCTGGGACTTGCTGGCTTGGGAGGCGTGCTCGGTGACGGCTGCGGTGAGCCTCTCGTCGGTGTCGGGGGGGAATGCCCCGCCGTCGAGGTTGAGGGCCATCTGAATCTTTGTCTCGTTGGTGTCGCGCGCGAGGGCGGCCCATCTGGGCGGGTGAGATGTTGTAGACATGGCTGGTGTGTGGTTGTGTCGTATGTGATTGAGAACACGGGAAATATGTCAGGGATTGGTACGAAAACAGAGGAAATATCGCAAATGTATAGACTATCGTCGATGTTGATTTGGGACTTTTTTTGTTAGAGTCACTAATCGTTATCAGTGGGCGCCGTGTGTCGGAGCTGCCAGTGGCGGGGAGGGGCAGACTTCGTATGAGGTGGGGCATTGCCCAATCAGGGCCCCTTAACTGTCAGCGATTGCAGCTGCCATCAAACAGTGGTTCAGTGAGTGAGTGAGTGAATCGTACCCGACCGCATTCTCCAATTTTCACCGCTTGGGGGGGAGCAGGCCCACTCGGGATGGGAGCTCCAGCGGCAGAAAAAAAGAATTGAAAAGCGCAGAGGCAGGAACGCTTCTTTGTCTTTCCAGCTTTCCCCTGTTGGAACATCAGCTCTTGCTCGCGCCCCCCCCAAAAAGGAGAGGACACGGGTCAGGAACAGAGCATGACCAACACCAACACATCAGCGCTGTAGCCTGGTGTCTCATTGGTCACGTCTTTCCTCTCCCGCAACACCTGCAGATAAATAGTGCAGCCTGGCCAATTTGCTAGCTGCCTTGCCATCTGCAACATCACCACATTCTCTCGTCGTTTGCTTCAACGACTTTTACTCACCTGCCTTCTCAACGCACTGGAACACAGCTTTGCTGGACATTGGAAAACATGTCCGAGTTCCTCGATGCCTACTGGCAGGCGCCGCCTGTTGCAAGGTAAGCACAGCTCATCCCTCTCACATTGCTCTCTCTACACCCGTCCCTCAGCCTTGCTGACTCGTCTTCTACAGAACATTTGCAACAGCTGCGCTCGTCACGTCTCTCTCTGTTCTCCTGGGTGTCGCAAACGGATACTGGTTCATCTTCATGCCCCAGTTTCTCTTTCAGTTCCCGCCTCAGATTTGGCGTCTCGGAACCAACTTCCTGCTCACCGGCCCCCAGCTTGGCCTGCTCTTTGACACGTACTTCCTGTACCACTACCTGACGGCGCTCGAGGTCGGCAACCCCAGGTTCGCCAGGCGCGAGGATGTCATTTGGTATCTCATGTTCGTGTGCACTGTCATCACGGTAAGTTGCTATTGTCGCTGCTCCGGCAGTCCGCCCAAAATCATGCTATTTCCCCTTGGGGAAAACTTCCCTCAATATACACAATGCCCACGAGAAGAAAAATCTCTTTCTCTCTTGCTATACACACACTCTTGCACCTCATATTATCTGCCCGCACAGTGGATACCCACAGCTGTCAGCGGTTCCTGGAAATGAGGAAGATTACCCTCACGGCGCGACCCGTCCTCTTTCGCTTTAGGGACGGTGTTCGTGGCGTGGGCATGGTGGGATGTCTTATGGATGGCTCGTGCAACCTCACAATGTTGCTCGAGTGGTTTTCTTAGCGCCCTACATATCTTCACCCAAACTCTTGGGTTTTGTTTCTCTTCTTGTTCACTGTCTATACCATCGTCATGACCATTATCATCATCATCATCCAGCTTCGGCCCAAAGGAGCATGCGCTAATATCGCACAGGCACTCTGCACCTACCTCATGGGCGGAGGAGCCTTCCTGCCGGCTTTGATTCTCGCCATGTGCCGTACCGTCACCCAAGACCAGCGCGGGATGAAGGCCAACTTCTACTTCGTCACCATCCCCGCCCAGCTCACCCCCTTCTGCATGATGCTCGTGTCGCTGCTGTTCCCCGGCGGATACTACACCGCCATGCTCCAGTTTATGGGCTTCCTGGCCGCTCATCTCTACGATTTCCTGTCTCGGGTGTGGCCCGAGTTCAGCGGAGGCAGCAACCTGATTCCTACGCCCAGCTTCCTGTCTCGTCTCGTGCAGACTCCTCGCTTTAATCAGCGTGAGTACGGAACTGCCGTTCGCGGTGGCGGTGGCTCGGCCCAAAGTTCGGGTAGCAGCACCGGCGTCTCTCAGGGCGGCGGCGTTTTGCCCGAGTCGTGGAGAACAAGAGGACCCGGTAGACGTCTGGGTTAGAGCACATGCTACAAGAATCGTTGTACGATAGACTTTAATCGATTAATCGTTGATGAACATTGTGTTTGTTCCATGACCCTTTCGATCACTCTGATTTACCTGACGCCGCAGGTTATATATAGCACGCTAAACATACAAATTACCGACCCATTCCAAGAAACTCCATGATATCAAAAAAGGAACCCATCCTCCTTTCCGTACAATCCTTGAGAATCATACAGTAGTACCCCAAAGTCTATCCGTACAGAGTGCTCTTGCCGCTCCGAATCGGCATATCACCCTCGTACTCTTGAGGGTCGACCCGCACCGGCACCTGGTGCGATATTATCGCCGACCGGCCCGCGAGCGGCTCGTCCCTGAACCTCTGATCGTGGAAGGTCAGGGGCTCCGAGATTTGCATCTCGTTTGTCCGCTCGCCGCGGTCCGCTACTGGCGTCGCGCCTTGGACTGTGATGGAGGGCGGGGAGTACTGCTTCGGCACGCGTATCCGCGGCACCGAGGGGAGGGAGATGGATGGTATCCGCGACGACGTCTTCCTCGAAGGTTTCCCGGGAGGCGGCGGCGGCGGAATGTTGACCACTCTTGGTGTGTTGTTGTTCGTTGTTATATAAGACGCGGACCCTTGCGAGCGAGCGGGCGATGATGTCCGGGATACGGCGCGGGGCGGGGGTCTGATGGTGGAGAGGGGCTCGTCTGCCGCGCTGAGGTAGGTTCGCAGGGCGTACGAGTCTGGCGTGTTGGTCTTGCGCGGGTTCGGCGGCGTCGGGGTCGGCGTGCTGCGGTTCGACTGCCGGCTCATGGCGCGGGGGATGTAGGCCGGGTGCGTGGGCAGCGCGCTGCCGGGGCCGTGGTGGCCCGAGTGCGGGTCAAAGTTGTAGTGGGAGATTTCGCGGCCGGACTGGACCTCCTGCTCCAGCTTGTCGTAGTACTCTGCGTTGTTGTTGAAGCTGTCGTTGTTGCTGCCCGCGATGATGTTCTTTTCTTGGAGCTCATAGTTGTACGAGTTGATGGAGGAGGATTTCTTGTGGTCTCCGCCGCCGATGGGGAGGTAGGCACCGTTGCTGGTCGCGGTGAAGGAGCTGCCGTTGCTTCTGGGGGGTAGTTGTTGATGTTGGTGCTGGTGGTAGTGGAGGGAGGCCCCTTCGTCCTGGAGTCGTTGCTTTCGTTGTTTGCGGCAGTAGATGATGAAGAGGCAGATGGCACCGACGAAGACAAGGCCGGCGCCGACGGCGATGCCGACGATGGTTCCCAGCGTCATGGTTGTTGAGGAGGCTCCGCCGTCTCCGGGGAGCGTGGTATTTGTTGCCGAGTCGGTGATGTTGACGGCTTCTTTGGAGAAGAGTTGACCGGTGAGCCCGATCAGGCTTCCGTCTGTTGGCTTGCGTTGGCAGCCGGCCTTGAGGGCGATGAGAACTGATTAAAAGGTCAGCGATTATTGTTGTTGTTGTTGTTGTTGTCATAGAGTCTTCTCGTTGTGTGTTGGCTTACAGTTTGAGAGGTAGCTCTGGTCGTCGCTTGACTGAAGGCACCTCACGCAAGACCACCAGCTTGAGCTCGAGAACTTGTTCCCGTCCGCCGTGCAGTAGTCGTATGCCGTATCAGCGTCTGGCGTTGTGAGAGCGGCCGTCAGGGCGTTCTTGAGGGGCAAGCAGGCGCTGTTGATGATGCAGGGCGAGTTGATGGTGGAGATGGCGTCCGGGAAGTTGAACAGACAAACGTCAACGGCGTAACGGACGTTGTCTATGAAGAAAACATGTTAGTTCAAAACGCCCTCAAGTTACTGTTGAGGGTTGATAATCTTACGCATGAACCATGCAGCATCACTCTCCGGTCCCTTGGTAGCTTGGCTCTTCTGTAGACAGTTGACACAGTTCTTGAACTTGATGCCGGTGCCGCTGGAGTGATATTGGTTGTTCTCGCATACGATATCGGAGGAGTTGGTCCCTGATGTCGCGGTATCAATGGTCGTCCCGTTCGTCCCACCCAAGCACAGGGCCGCACAGTCTGAGCCTGGTGTTACCTCTAGCGAGAAGGCGGCTGTGACGAGAGAGCACACAACGAGAAGATGCCGCAGGGAGAAAGTCGTCATTATGATAGGGCCGGTTGGAAGCCGTCTGGGTTCTGGCGGATGGGGCGTAGGAAGGGCGTCCGAGGCGGGGAGAAGGCTATAAGAGCTTCTTCAACGGCATGGCATGCAAGAATCTCCTCCACGGGACAAGTGAACAAGGATTCACAAAGAGACTGTCTATGGGCAGGATGTATCGAGGACACGGAGTTCAAGATGAACTTTCAAAAGCCATCAAGAGACACAGTTCAAGTTTCGAGTCCGAGGGACGTAATGCAGATATACCAAAGGATAACACAGAGGTAGCATCGCGGGAGCATGGCGATCCCATGCAAGACAGGCAGGCGGCTCTGCAGTTGCAAGCATACTTCTCATTGTGAGAGAAAGAGGGCTGGTCTATTTTGAGGGTGTGCTGTGGACTGTAGCGTATAGTAGTCGCCATGGCTTCCAGCCGGCAAGAAAAAAGCCAAAATAAGATGTAGCATTCCCAACTTCCCAAGATGGCAAAGTGAACATGTAAGTCATGCGTTGCTTCTCCAGATCGAACCCTTGCGGGGGGTTCCGAGCTGAGAATAGCACGCCGAGATGGATCAGAGAGAACATACGGCCAATGAGACGGCGCAAAGTGCCAAAATCCTAGAAGTTCGAGGTCAAACCCGTCGAATGAGAAGGGAGGAAACATGAACACCAGCGCCAAAACAAAGATAGATCAGCCAGGGGTCTCTCGTCTCCCGCAAAAGATGCGAGTTGCTGACTGGCCGGGGAGGCACATTTTGAGTGAGATACCTTGACTTGGAGGACGGGAAGTGGAAACGGAATGGACAGGATTGAATGGCCTCGCAGGCGCCGGCCGGGGATGCGGCCCCCCTCTCTTCTCATCTTGGCTTGTTCCAGCCACTTAGCGGCCGTCTTCCCGCCCGAGGGATCCAGTCTTTCCGCCACCGAACTCCTCTGGCACTCTGGTTAGCGGCCGGGGTTGAGGGAAATCAGACCACCTAAGCTATGGCCAAGACTGCCACGAGGTCGCATTTCTGAGCGGGCGGCAGTCTTCCGAGTGAGATATCTCCATTTTCTCCAAAGTTCCTTCACAAGCTCGCTTGACTGACTGACCGGTCTCATTCTTTTACCCCTCACTTCTGTTCTGCTTAGTATGTACTGCTCACATGTTGACGTCTATCCCAGCCAGACAGCTCATAATGTTGTTTATCATCGTGACTTCGCTTTGGCTGGTCATAGGACGGAAGTCTACAACATTTTGCTGATTCACGTAAGCCTACTAATGCATTGAAGCCTCGCGATAGTGTTCCTCGCGTCTATCAACCAACGAGACGAAGTTCACCACAGTCATATAACTGCAGTCTGTTATTACCAAAATACCTTACCTCACTTACTGGCGCTGCCGGGCCTGACGCAACGCAACGTCTTCCACCTCTAGGCTAGCGGTCCTGCTAGTGCGGCACTGCAGACACCCACACACCGCACTTGGCTCGCTCCCATTTGCTCTGGCGTTCCCCCGCGGAAGTCGTCACTTGCAGCCAAATTTCCGTGAATAGCAGAAATATGTGATAGTGGCTGCATAAGCCAACCTCCGCAGGGCGAAACCTCAGCAGAATGGAGCTTGGTAGCGTAGCTTCCCGCCTTCAGCACCTCCACCACCAGCAACGGTGCAACATGATATTTCTGACAGACTGGCATTGACAATGACAGTCGGCCATGGGTGGTGGAGCAGAGTTTCCGCATTTCGTGCTCGGTTCTGTACTGCGTCGCATTTCATTCTGTGGTTCCCATCGACATCTTGGTCCCACCTCAACAGTCTTCAAGAGAATTGAAAAGCAGACGGCGTCCCGGCCTTGGAGACTTTGACACTTATAAATGTTTCCCCCAGCGATTGTTTCCTTCAATTGTCATCTCTCAACTTCATACTCTATCTTTCTCTTCTTATATGCCCGTGGAACAGCAGGTTTTCTCCCTTCTCTCTCCAAGGAGAAACATCACAACACAATCATGTTGGTCCATGTTGAGTTCAGGACTCTCCCACAAATGGACGCACTATGAGTCTGACGGACTGGCTTATCAACCTAGTCAATACTTTGTTGCACGAGTTCAGCCTCTTGTTTCTCACTCTTTCCATTCCTTAGATCCCGTCTCGTACCGGCCAGGTTTTGTTGTGCGACATGCCAGCTGAGTTCATTTCCCTCCGCGGGCCCTTGCATGACTTACAAGACTCTTTGTTACTCAAACCATAAACACTGTTGCCGATCAAGACCTTTTCAGACCGAACATTCGTCGTTTGTCGAGCAGATCCATCTTCTTATGCATGAAACCTAAACAATGTTTTGTTTCCCTAAGAAGCTTCTCAAACTCCCAATAGGTGTATCCGTTGCCATCCGCGCCTTGGCTATTCTCCCTCGTGGCGCTATTGTGGTACAACATCCATGTTGCCCTATTTTTTTAACATCCCGTACGCCGCAATCCGCATTCTTGGATTCTTCATCCCAGAACACCATGTTCACCAACGTTCTAGATTTCTCATCAGTATTGAATCATGAATGTGCTCTAATAATCGGGCCGAAAGAGTCGTCAACGTTCTGCACTACATCCTCTATCGAGCGGCGTGTCTTCCAGACGGCAAGTCTTGCGGTGAGTTCTGGAAGCTAGACCGCTTGGGGATCTTCAACGGAACACGATGGGCAATCTAGAATCACCAAAAGCCTCAGCACAAAACCATCTGGCTAAGCACGAGCTGTGCCGATTCGGTGATTTTGTACCACGTGTGACTTTACCCATCGCGTGAGTCGGTCTATGTCCCGCAAAAACGAGGCCGTTTGGGTCGTACGTCCTGAAAACATGAGTGGGAAGCAATCAATCCCACTCATCAATCTGATTCTTCGTTTTGCAAACTCATCCTTGACATACGACCGTGAGTCCTTTTCTCACGATACTACCACTGTTTGCTTAAGCCCGTCACCTCTTTCGTGAAGACGTATAAGATGGCTCTGTCTACTGCGAGCCTGAGAACCAGAACAGCTTGTAGACAACCCAAGACTCAAATCATCACAATGGCCTACAAATTCGGACTCATCCTCGCCGCTCTCGCCGCCACACCGGCGCTCGCACTCCCAGCCGGGCTTCCTCAGCCCCCCAATCCCGAAGACTGGACCCTCCTCAACTTCCGACGCAACTGCGCAGAAGACCAGAGCAGATGTAGCTACAGCTTCCTCGTCTCCGAAGAGGCGACAAAGGTACCAAAGTACTGCAACTTTGACATTGACGCCGCCGGCGGTCTCCCCGCGTACCAGACCGACTTCTCGTCCCTGACGTGCCCCGGCGTGCCAGAGTACAGCATCAACGGCGGCTGGGACGAGCGCGAGTTCATCACCCTGACGGTCATTAACGACGAGAGGAAGCTCCTGTCCTTCTTCGCCTACAGGGACGTCGACCTCTGGGCCGGCGATGGTGCCGCGCCGCAGCAGTCTACGGTGTATATCTACCCGATGCCGGCGGTTAAGCGGGAGGTTGAGACTAGGGATGAGGAGAATAGTCTTCCATACGCCTCTGAGTGGAAGATCAAGGACCTCGTTAGATGTGAGTTTGTTCTGGCTTTACTGACGTAACTACAACTGGTTTTACATCAGCAGTTTGACTAACGAAGTTGTGAAGACGAGTTCAACCGGGGAGCCCCTTACACCGACGCACTCATCATAAGGTTCGGTATCCAGGCCCTCGGAACTCCAATCGAACAGTGCCTCCTCATCATTCCCCTGTTCGAAGGTACCAGGCCGCTGGGCAAGAGCTTCTACGACGCACCCTGCGACTACGGCGGATGGACGGCTTCCTGGGGCCACAACGAGACCACAGACGAGGCGGTCTTGTCCCTAATGAAGTAATATACCACTCTATATTCCCCGATATCAACGAAGCTGACATGATCTGCAGTGCAAACCATGACAGGATTGCCTACTTTGGGTACAACGGTGTCAGCACCAATGTCGTTCTTGGCAACAACGGTCCTAGACCTGTCTCACAGCTTTGAGGAAACAATCTATGAAAACTCCAAAAAACGATTTGGCAGACTAATTGATGAGATGGGGGCTTTAACGGATAGTGTTGACTTGTTTTCTATGGAAATGATTCGTTTTCTACCCACCTTACTGTAACATTTACCATTCCAGAACGAGTACTTTGACCTAATGAGATTGACATTTTTAATGCGAATGCTTGTCTGTAGGCTGTTGGCTTCATCTTGCATCATAAATAAGAGACAAGGATGAACAAGGCGGGCATGTCACAACCTGTGCTTAGCATCCGATTGTTTTCTCACCGCTACTGCGTCTGTTTCGCATTATTACTTCGTGGGTAATCGCAGAAGAGAGGACAGAGCCTCTATTAAACGCTGAAAGTGCGGACTTACTCACAAGAGTTTTCCGGACCGTTATATTGCGCAGATTCACTGCCCAGTAGCCGTTTGCAAAAGTGAACCCGGGTAGCGCACCCGGGTCCCTCTCTGACTGGCCGAGCTACGCGCTGCCTTCTTCAATGAGAGGTTGGCACGTTGGCCAGAGACTGCAACGCTATGTAGGAGTGATGATGTAGCTGACTAGCCCGCGTATTGGGCGAATGGGACCCTGTATGGCTTCTTCACCGATACCATAGATTCGGAAGCGGCTCTTGTCCAACCATCGGCTACGCTTCCTGGGATCGGCAGAGGCAACATCTCTCAAGTGACTTGCGGCCGGGAAGAGTTGGTTGACCGTTTAGGGCGTTTAGGCGGGCCCCGGATTTAATGAGGCGGGAAACAGAAAAATCACGCGACGGGCGTGACCAAGGCTCAGCGTTGACAGCCCCCCTGGGCTTGGTCGGTGGACAACTCGCAGCCCCAGCGGCAGCAAACCGGTCTCGTGCATCTGCAGTCCTCAGTCTGCAGATCACTCGCTTCCGGTCTTACACCGCGGTTACCTCTCCCGTCTTGCTCTTCTCGTCCGTAAGGAGGCACTGTATAAGATACGATGTACGATTATTTGGCTTTTTAGACAACCTGTGTCACAAACAAAGACCATGTCCTACGGTGCTGGTGACATATAATCACCACAAGGCTGGATCAAAGGTTTGATGGGAAGGCTGAGGGATCCTACCAGCTGCATCGTGACTGTTTTCCACAAAGACAGAAGGCAGGTGAACACAACCAGATGCAACTTTGGTAGGGCTGTGGCGGGGGACGGACGTCTCTCTCTCTCTCCTTACCTTTCAGTACTGTACAGATACAGTTGGGCCATGGAAGAGGATGCCCGACGGAGCACTGGCCGAGAATGGCGGGACATCGTCGCATGCTCTCACAGCCCGCATAAGAGACTACCAATGGGAGTCTGAAGTCCTTCATGCTGTTGGTGCTTGGTCTATCGTTATGAGCATGGGATTTGGAGTGCGAGGTTGTTGCCATTGGGCAAACGCAAGGGGATAGACACCGTTGGAGGGATTGGCGACAGTACGCTTACCCAAGGAGGTTAGATACATTCCGAAGAGAGGCAAGTTCAGGTCGCTTCATGGGGCTAATATGGTGGGGTGGCAGAAGATACTTAGTGATGATCCGTGCTTGCGTGCCTCTGCGGGCGACCGGTTGTATAGTGACGAGCAGATGCAGCTTGTAAGTGGCTCCTACAGATCCTTGTTCGCGGACAGCGGCAAACGTCGTTATCCTGTTGGCTGAGCTTCATCACCACCAACGCACTTTAACTATTGGCTGGAGGCTCAGGAGGCACGCACTTCCACCCATCTCGGCGCCTTACCCCATGGTCCTGCTGAGCCAGTCTGTTGCATTGCGAGTTGTCTCCCTGGTCGCTCACTCCTAATTCCCCCGCCCTCCAAATAACTGTCGTCGCCCACGAGATTTACCTGAATTAGTGTACACTAACCTTTCTTTCCTCGGCGTGCCCCGTTCCTCGATCCTACACTCTTCCGGCATCGCGAACTCGTCGTCTCTTGAATGTATCCGTTATACAAACTTTCCTCATTAACTTCCGTTGCGACGAGCCGTGCGACCGGTCGAAGGGTCTTTGGACACGAGGCATTTGACTTGTTCGTCCACCTGTCGTACTCGCCGTTGACACCAACCGAAGATGAGGATAGGCTGCCTTCAGTTCGCTCCCCAAGTGGGCGATATCGACAATAATCTCAACCGTGCCGACTCTGTTTTGAGCAAGGCGGATACGGACGATCTCGATCTTCTTGTACTGCCTGAGCTGGCTTTCTCGGGTGAGCTTTACCGCCTCAATCTGGGGTTTCTTTGTATGCAGTGTCGATTAGTGGGCTGCTCTTGCATTTCTTTTACAATGGCCGAACCAAGCGCATTGTCTATCCTGACACTGACATTCTCCAGGATACAACTTCAAGTCGTTGCAGCACATTTCGCCCTTTCTCGAGCCATCAGGCTCCGGTATCACTTCCTTGTGGGCTCGAACCACAGCCCTCAAGTACAACTGCAATGTCGTCGTTGGATATCCCGAGAAGGTCGATGTTTCGAACCAGTGGCCTACTGGCCCTGAATACTACAACTCTGCTATTGTAGTCAACGGAGATGGAGAAACGATCGCAAACTACCGGAAAAGCTTCCTCTACTACACTGATGAGACATGGGCACTCGAGGGTAACAGAGGGTTTTATGAGGGTTGGATCCCCGGACTTGGAAACACCTCCATCGGCATCTGTAAGTGCACATCTTGCTTCGTGCTTGAAAAGCTCTCGCTAACCAACACGAATTGCAGGCATGGATCTGAAGTAAGCTTGATTCTATAGCTGATAACGAGTGTTGTACTGACCTTTGAACAGCCCTTACAAGTTCCAAGCCCCGTGGCATGCGTTTGAGTTCGCTTTCCACATCCTCGAATATGATTCAAACTTGGTTATCATTTCGATGGCGTGGATGACTCGGGAAGATGGTCGTCTGTTCAGTCGGATGCCAAATGAACCAGACATGGACACGTTGACGTACTGGGTTACTCGTCTGGAACCTCTGATTCGATCAGAGAATGAGGAGGAGATCATTGTCGTCTTCTGCAATCGCACTGGTAATGAGGATGATGCAGTATACGCAGGCACGAGTGCAGTCATTGGGATCCAGGGTGGCGAGGTTAAGATCTACGGACTCCTCGGCCGTGGCGAAAAGGAACTCCTGGTCATTGATACCAATAATGCGCCGTATGCGAAGCTGGTATACCGTCCAGAGCCCGAGAGGCCATCTGCCGTACACTCCGAGTTGCAACAGTCCGGAAACAATCCCTCAACACCAGCGGCAAATGCGTCAAAGAGTACGAAGCAAGGCTTTTCCTCGCACACTCCAACCCAGCCAACGTCACCCCCGACCAAACCGGCTTCTGTTTCCGCCTCTTCTCATCAGTCGCCAAAGAGATTGCCAGCGTCAAAGCAAACGAAGTCGCCGCCAGCGAGGATCCAAATACCACCTACCGACTCCTCCGCCGGAGTTCACTTTCGAGGCATCTCAGCGAAGTCCACGGATTCTAATCTCCCGACGCCAACTGCACCGAGCCCAACGCCCATGGCAATTAGGCCAAAATTGATCATCCCACAGTCGCCTCCCCTCGAGCCATGGCAATCCGGAAGTCCAGTTCCTCAGAGCAGCCAGTCCACTCGCTCTGTCCAGTCGGTTCTCTCCAACCAGTCGATCACCTCAAACCCTCGTCCGCCTGAAGACAGCACACCTTATCCCCATAGCGGTGCTCCCTTGAGTGGATATCCTACAAGCAATCGCGCTGTGGACAAGAACTTGAAAATTTACGGCGGCAGCGTCTCAATAACGCAGATGCCCTTCACTCCCATCACCCCGTTCGACGACCAGTCACCATTGGAGCCTCGCTATTTCTGGCGACCTTCTGAGACACTCTTGAAAACTCCGATGGAGTCAAAGGGTCGGACTGGAGTCGCAGAGCCTGATAACACCAGAACACAAACTTTCCACTTCCCTCCTTTCACTCAGAACGAGCCAACTGCTCGCGCGCACTCCTCAAACTCCATGCGCACAGTAGCCACTGCTGGTAGTGCGAAGTCGAAAAAGGCCGGTGATCAGCCTTCGAGTGAGCGGAAACGTGCCCCATCTCAGAGCTCGAAGGCACGCCATTCTAGCAAGACACGATCTGGAGATTCAAACAGCTCAAAAGGCGAGGGTCAGAGAAAAGGGGTCTCCAGGGGTGACTCTGCCACACCAGCTCGGCCTTCATCGCCAAAGTCACGCAACGCCAGTCGAACAAGAATGCTAGATCGGTCTGAGTCCGCTTTGGCTCATCGTGAACAAGTTTCGCAACAGCTGGGGTCTATCTCGCAAAGGGCAGAGTCAAGGAATCGAGCCCAGTCAGAGGAAACGAGAACCGAGACTCCCCAGCCAGATCGGCCGTCCTCCCCGAAGTCTCGCAACTGCAGCAGGAGCCGCCCAAGTGAGCATCTCTCGTCCATCCTGATTGCGGCCAGTCCGAGTATTTACCAGGACGAGTACAATCGACGATCGCTCTCAGCACTGCCGGACACTCAGAACACCCAGCATCACCGCCCGATGTCCCGAATGAACAACCGCGCAAGAACCGGTTCGATAACAGAAGCTGAGCGTGATAACCTACGAAATGCTCGTCCTTCTTCCAGAGCCTCGATGAGTGGAGGACAAGTCGGGCCACGTCCGGCTTCCCGTGCGGCTAGCCGCGGCCGACAACCTGGTGCGAAGTTCTCGCCGCCAAAGATGTCACCTCACGATCCCTCTCTTTCAGTAGAGCAGGCATCGGACGAGATAGTCCGCATTGAACGTGACAGAGCAAGTTCGATCGCATCCAAGCCTCCCATCAGCTCTCCGGCCTACGAGCCCAACTTCGAGAGGGTGGAGGCTATTGTTTGCCCCAACTGCCCTGTTCACGGACGGCACTCTACGGGATCCGTTCCGGGGTCTACTTTGACGTCTTCGGAACATAGACTGTCTCCAGGTCTGATATCGGGTCGATCCGCGTCGTCCCCGGCGGCACCACATGTTACTGAATGCGCTGTTGCCGCATCGGACAGCAAAGTAGACAGCGATCTTGAGTTCTCCGCCACCACATTCCCCAAAGTCAGCGACGCAACCTCCTTGGCCGAGACGATTGAGACGATATCAAGTTCCGGCCGATCGCCATCTACACCACTGTTCGAACCCAAGACTCCACGTGCCATGGTCATCATTCGTGACGTTGAGTCTTTCGGCGTTGGGGGGAAGGGTTTCTCGGACTTGTCGGGTGATTTTTCCGATTTGATTTGCACCGATAGAAATGTCGGCCCAACAGCAGATGGGCCGCAAGTCGTAGCAGCATAGATGCCTCCAACCAGAGGCGTGGCTCATGCCATTATGTTTTTTTTATTCAATTTTCTCTAGGAAAGCGGGGAGTTTGGACCTCTTTGCCAGGGGCGAAGTTCTATCATCTGCAAGAAAGGATATCAATGCATAATGAATAGATCGACAAGGGTGCAACGTCGACATGATAAGATGGACGAAGTGGGCTTGGGACGGATGGTGTGCACGTTGATATTGGTTTTCCGGGTACAGGTCGACGTAGCATTCTTTACATGTACTTCCCTTTTTTTGCCTCTGAAGCCTTTCGGATTCTTTTGAGCACATGGAAAATTCATTGATGTTTGGACATAAGATGCTGGCACCCACAAGCAGACACCGAGAGCATGTGTGATCTGTCGATATCGATATCTCCTGCCAAGATACACGAAGATGTACAACACCATCGTCATCTCGTCGATGTGCCTCAATGCAGTTGGCGCTTGCCAATACAGGGGGGAAGAATTCAAAGGATTTACCTCAGAGTAAACCCTTAGGGCGTTTAGAGGGGGCAACCGCGCTTGACTTGCATCTCGAAGGATTCGAGGTCGGGTGTTTCCGCTAGGCGGCGGTATTGAGTCGATAATCGTGAGATGGCCGTGGTGCACTCTCCGTAGGTCTATCCTGTTTGCCTGGCTTTCATATTGACGACCTGCTAAGCCCGCGATCATCAAAGTCGAGGCTCAATTGATTGAGTGCCCCGTTGCATATCACCAACCACGGGAGCCAGGAACGCCTTGATTCCTTTGCTTTCAGGGCGCTAGGCCGTCCAACGGGTCTCTTTCGCCAGCAGACAAACATGCTCGACGACCAATCACCCAACGGAGAGGGGTTCCCGCGCCCCGAACGAGGTTGCTGAAGTGTGAAATCGGACAGGGATTCTTGCATCTTAGCTCCATCGCCCATCCAGGGTTGTTGCATTCTGAGTGGCTGGGGCCGACCATCAGTCTGCACGCCACCGTCCACCTCGGCGCTACGAAGCAACGAGAGAGAGAGAGAGAGAGAGAAAGCAAGCAGATCTGTATCTCTCGCAGCAATCCGCCCCCGCGTTCACCAACAACGTTTGGCCGACGGGCGGCGGTGTGTTATTGCAGACCATTGGGGTTGGTTCTTGGCCACAACCAACGAGGCCCTTTCAGCTTACCCTTCGAGGCAGGTTGCGTGCTGTTCACCGGCCTGGTGGTCGAGGAGACCGACCCAGAGGCCTAATGGCTCATCCCCAAGGTGTGCTGACCTCCGTGCCACCCCAATTCTTCTGGGACCCCAATCACACGCACCAGTACGGAGTAGAACCAACGAGGTGATGAGAATGCAGAAGCCTGCGCCCCTCGTCACAATCACAACCGTAACCAACTTCTCTCTCGCAAACACCGAAACACATATGAGGCTTGATTTCGCATGGCTTCGGTGTTGCTGTGACTAGTCGTCACATCGTGAAGAACCTCCTCGAGAACGTCGGATCGCGGCTCCGCCCAGAACATACAAATCTCAAGCTTCCCACCCGGCGCTCAGTTTTTGCTTCAGTCTCCTCCGGATCTGGGCTGCGAAATCCACTTCACGCCGGAATGTGACACCAGCGGACCCTCGCCCCTCAGCATTCGACTTCAAGCCCGGTAAATTGCCCTGCGCGTTGCAGTGAATCGCCCTTCCGCGGTGATCGCATTGTAGAACGTATTTAGCGAAAAGAAACACACGCATACACACTCCCAAAAGCCGGCATTCGCTTCGTCTTTCCCAACATGAGAGTAACGACAGGCGCACTTGTGGCCGGTCTCTGGCTCGGCCGGGTGTCTGCAATCCACGTGGCTGATGGTTCACCTTGCGAGACACTATGCGGCAACGTACTCGACTCGACGACCAAGAATGACGTTGTTTGCGACGAACATTCGTACTCCAGCAGCGCGGCTGGCTCTGTATATCAGCAGTGCATATCTTGCGAGTTGAGCAGTGACTTTGCGACCAGCACCAACGAGACAGATACGCAATGGGCATTGTGTAAGTGCATATGCTTCTTCGACCATGACTTGGTACTCACATACACATCTGCAGATAACCTCAGATATGCCGTTTCTTATTGCGTCTTCGGCTACCCAGATAACCCGGACGTCGGTTCAAGCCCGTGTCTAACAAGGTTTGTCTACCGCTGAAGTGCTGCAAAGTTCGCCTGCTAAACCTCCGATTAGGACTGCGTGTGAGCCGTTGCAAAATGCCATCAAGTACAATGACTTGGCATCCAATGCTACCGAGTATGAGTACTGCGATGTATGGGACCATAACCAGGTCGCCAGTTGTTCAGCATGTCTTCGCGCAGGAAACAACAACTACCTGACCAACTGTATGTACCGCAAAGGCCATGGTCTTGAAGTCCGACTGACAAGCTGCTAGTTATCACCATCTTGGATGCCGGATGCGAACAGAAGCCGGTACCTGGTACCACGGTTTCTGTAGATGGCTCCCCCTTCTCGAAGACTCGTGTCAACATCACTGAGCCGACACCTACCAACACATATGTTTCAAACTACAACAAGGGACCCATCAGTCTAGGCGGCATTGTCGGCATCGCTATCGGAGGCGCAGTCCTCCTTCTTGCCATGGCTGGCTTCTGCATCGTATGGAACGGCAAGAGGAGACGTAGGGCGTACCTTAAGCAACTCGAGATGAGGCAGAAGGGCCCGTCCGGATGGCCATCGCCGCTGAATCTTGCCGGTCTCAACGGCACACCACTGAGCCAGCGTCCGCTGCGAAGCTGGGATGACACGCCACAGAGCCAGGTATTCCCACGGACCTACGATGACTCGCCAATGAGCCCGCAGGGAGAGAACGCGTTTCCGAGATACTTTTCGCCGTACTCATCCCAGTACAACAGTCCGGTCAGCGGTACTGAAGCGCCACATATGCAGTGGCCGGCCAACCAAGCAGCCCCAAGCAGTCAACAGCAGGAGATCGGCCTGGCTTTCGGAGGCGACGATGCGCAGCACGATTGGCCTGAGGATAAGGGTAAGGGGAAACCCGAGGCCTATGAGCTGAGAGAAGTCGACGGCGATTGGGAGGCGCGGCAGAGGCATCCCAGCCCGCCAGTCCTTCAACACCCAGCACATCCGACATACGCAGAACACAACCCAGCGGCGTACCACGGGATGACTGAAGAAGAATTTAGGAGGAGGTACATTTGATCGGCGATGGGATATTTGGAATATAATGCAATTTTTTTCAAAGTCGAGCTGGCGCAGCTGTCATTCCTTCGATAAAGGCCAGATGTTTGCTACTTAGCGGGAGTTCGGAGTTGGAGATACCGATTGAATAACATCGGCTCAATTACAGAGTAGGCCTACTGGCAATGAACGTGAGATATCGTCATACCTGTAATTCAATAGTGAACAACAAGATGAACAAGAGATGAACAACAGTATGCTTGCTTTCTGTGATTATGATTCTCAAGTTGAGCCTGTCGTCATTCGTCCCATTTCCCTTGTGGACTGTGGTTGATAACGATAACAAGCCGCTTCTTTTGCCCTTCTTTCCTTCCAAGTTTTCTTGCAAGACGGCTGGTCCCTGGTTGAGGAAGGCGGAACGGTGCAAGGCGCGTCCGCTGTGTGGCTAGGTGTTTTTTAGCATGACCAATCGCGTTTGCTCAATGGCAACACCGCGCCACATTGTGGGTCCCGACGGATTTTTTTGGCAGCTTCCACCCCACAGCCAGAGAAAAAAAATTTGGATTGGGAAGCTTCAAGTCCTCCAACACCACGAGACCTTCCATTCCGACGTTCACGAGCCAACGTCAGACACCCATTGCACCTGACACGCCTTTGTCGGTTCGGTACAGTTCGGAAACAATGGCCATGGAAATTGTCAAGCACGGCGAGGAGGAGGAGTTCGCCATCAAGCCTCAGTCCTCTGTCCCTCACCTGGACACGAGCAGCTGGCCTCTGTTGCTCAAGAACTACGACAAGCGCAAGTTTTCTCCCTCTTCTTGGACTTGGAGCGACCGCTCGTCTACATCATCACAAACAAACGACTGACCAGGCTTCTTGCAGTTCTCGTCCGGACGGGTCACTTCACCCCCATCCCGGCAGGATGCAGCCCTCTGAAGAGAGACATCAAGTCGTACATCTCTTCCGGTGTCATCAACCTTGACAAGCCCTCCAACGTATGTCTTCTCGTATAGTCGCGATATGTCGCGATATGTCTCGGTGTGCGATATGCTAACTATTGAAAAGCCCAGTTCCCACGAGGTCGTCGCTTGGGTCAAGCGTATCCTTCGGTATGCAATTCCCAATCCCCTCGTTTTTGTATTTGTGAAAGCAATGCCCCGCGCCCGATCGTACGATTAGCCTCCGACATCGAAGACGAATTTCTCTACGGCAATGCTCTGCACGAAAATTGGGCATCAATGGCGGTACCTGGTTAGCGAGTTCCGACGGCGACAGACGCATTTTGCAGATGGTTCCACATGGTGCGGTCAGGGACTTCCTGGTGGAAAACTTCCAACGACCTTGCGAGCTGATGTTCATGACCTTCACGGAAACATGGCAATATTGGCCGGCATGTCATGTTGAGAAAGATGCGAATTGCCATGGAGAGACATGCCTCGCAAGGAAATCGTCGGAACTCGATTGCCCGGACCACCATGAGACTGCGACGTCTTGGGACTGCGGATGCTGCCGTTGCCGTCTGTCAACCGGGAACACATACGATCGAACGATTTCGAGGGGCATTCGCTTATCTTTCAGAACATTCTGAGTTTTGTCGAGAAAACATCGCTAACCATGTTTTTCTGTTGTGCAGCGTTGAGAAGACCGGTCACAGCGGTACCCTTGATCCCAAGGTCACTGGTGAGTTGCGTTCCCACATAACTGTCTCGAACGTGTTTTGCTAACTTTCTCAGGTTGCTTGATTGTTTGGTGAGCAGCAACCCACCGAAATCCAATGGAGCGTTCCATGAGAGAATTGCAACTGACGAATTCTACAGCGTCGACCGTGCCACCAGACTCGTCAAGTCCCAGCAGTCTGCTGGTAAGGAGTATGTTGCCGTCATCCGCCTTCACGACAAGCTGCCCGGCGGCAAGGTCCAGTTCGCCCGCGCTCTCGAGAGTGAGTTGACATAAACAACCCCGTTGCAACTGCTGAAAGTATTCTGACTCGCGATGCAGCTTTGACTGGTGCCCTCTTCCAGCGCCCTCCTTTGATCTCTGCCGTCAAGCGTCAGCTGCGTATCCGTACCATTCACGAGAGCAAGCTCATCGAGTTCGACAATGTACGTCGATCTAATCCAACATTGGGAAACGACTGCTGACCGTGTCTCAATCACAGGATCGCCACCTCGGTGTCTTCTGGGTTTCTTGCGAAGCTGGAACCTACATCCGTACCCTCTGCGTCCATCTCGTACGTCACATTGAATGTTGTTCCTTCAGTCTTGTTCTGATTGCTTACATGGATTAGGGTCTGTTGTTGGGTGTTGGTGGCCACATGCAGGAGCTCCGCAGAGTGCGCTCTGGTGCCATGGGCGAGAGCAAGGAGATGGTTACTCTGCACGATGTGCTTGATGCTCAGTGGACCATGGACAACACCAGGGATGAGTCTTACCTGCGCAAGGTCATCTCTCCCCTGGAGACTCTCCTCACTAGCTACAAGCGTATTGTGGTCAAGGACAGCGCTGTAAGTCATCCATTGCAACCCCTCTCCAAACCCCTCACGGTCGATGCGACCTTGTGGGTAATGTCTCAGTCGTCGACACATGAATCGCCTTTGCATCTGATATTGACGTACCTCACAGGTCAACGCTGTCTGCTACGGTGCTAAACTTATGCTTCCCGGTCTTCTGAGATACGGTGAGTTGTCAACCCCACGATGTCACATATGATTGACATGCTGATCCGCTTTTTAGAGTCCGAAATTGAGGTTCACGATGAGGTTGTTCTCATGACCACCAAGGGTGAGGCCATCGCCCTCGGCATTGCCCAGATGTCCACCGTCGAGATGTCGACATGCGGTAAGATTTCTCTCTTCCCATTGCAACCTTATGACTCTCGGACTAATGGAAAAGCAGATCACGGCGTTGTTGCCAAGGTCAAGAGATGCATCATGGAGCGCGACCTGTACCCCAGAAGATGGGGCCTCGGTCCCCTCGCCTCGGAGAAGAAGAAGATGAAGGCCGATGGCAAGCTCGACAAGTACGGCCGCCCCAACGAGGCCACTCCCGCCAAGTGGGTGTCGGAGTACAAGGACTTCGGAGCTCCTGCTGGTGAGGCTCCTGCTGCATCGGCGGCTCCGGCCACTCCCCAAAAGGCGGTGGAGTCTACGACAGCTACTCCCGTCGCAGTCACCCCTGCCAACGCCGAGGATGATGGCGAGTCCAAGAAACGCAAGAAGCACGAGGGCGAGACACCCGACGAGAAGGCGGAGCGCAAGCGTCGGAAGGCTGAGAAGAAGGCGGCCAAGGCCGCGAAGAAGGCAGCCAAGGGTGGTGCTGACGACGATGACGACAGCGAGTAAGCTCCTGCGAGTTTCCTCACCTCGATTGGCTAAGATACCATGTGTTTGTTGGCAATGGTCGGTGGTTGGCTGTTGTATCATAAAAAAATGGCTTTGGCAAGTGGCGTTTGGCTCTGAATTTCTCTCTCTCTCTCTCTCTCTGAACATAGTGCGGGACTGGCTGGATAGGAGTAGATAGGTCCTATACGGAAAGCAAAAGTGACGACTACTACTGTCGCATCAGTTCACGTTTTAACCAGGCTGTCACTGTCTCGACGTTATCGCAAACATTCCAGGAGTTGTTGAGCAGAGGTGTTGAAACGGAAGCACACGCAAAACGCTGGGTAGGGACTTACGTACTCCCGGCAGCATCCCGGCGGGATTTCAGACTGCAGCACAGTTCGGGTCCCGAACCAACGTGGATCTCGTCCGAACGAGTTTTGTTTGGAATCTCAGTCATAAACAGCGCCAATATACGTGTTCCGTCCTTCGTCCGAAGACGGGTTCCCTACCCTATCAACTGTGAAGGGAAAAACGTACAAGGAAGCATTGTCACCAAGCATGTCTCAGACCACATGCCTTGGCCAACCAAGGAAACAGCAGCAACTGCCACTGACCCTCCTTGATGCCTCGTAGAATTGGGTATAATGCAACCAAGAATACCGTGACCGGGTATAATTACTGGAGGTGCGGATCCTCTCAATGCTCCCCTGAGATGGCACTCGTGGCAGCACGTCACCCCCGCCTTTTTTTTTCCATCTTTTTCGTCTCGCTCCTCGACCTCGACGTCTTGGAGGCTTCTAGGCACGTGTATGGGCCAAGTATGGACTGCCAGGACTGGTAGGTATGGATGCACATCACTTCCCCCTTCACAGCCCCCGTGCCCCCGTGCCCCCCCCCCCCCGTCTCCAGGATCAATAAATGCCGGGTCCTGTTGCGCCTCATCCCTCACGCCCTGCTTCGCCCATGCCCGATCAGCGGGGCCGACACCGCCAGTGGAAGATCTCCCCGTGGACCTACATTGCCTACCCATCCAACCCCCGGTCACCGTCCATCGTCTTGGGAAGGGAAAAAGAGCCACTACCGTCATCCCGGTCAACCAAAGTACATCCCCGTGGCACCGTGGTCTGAACGGTGAACCCAACCCCAAGAGCCTCCTTTACTGCCCATGACGACGGGACAACAAGGATTAACTCTATACTAAGGTAGCTCTTATGTGGCTGCGCTTTAGAGGAAGGGGCGGAAGACGGGTGCCGGAATCCTATGCATGCCATGTAAATCCTTCTTTTTTTTTTCTCCGATCTTGGGCAGTAAAATATACGAGGATTAGGAGAAAAGATGTACGTACAGACTGAGTGAGAACTAGAGAACTACTATTGGATTTTCGTGGATTTTCGTGGGCTGGAAGCCTAAGAGGATTCCTGCTATCTGACCACCCCGTGGCTGCCAATCTGACGCGTGCCCAGCCCTAAGAGTGTAAAAATTGATTTCCCAAGTAGGAGGATTCTAAGCAGGGAAAACTAGGGAAGAAACTTGAGAGGTTCTAGCTTCGGGTATCCGGTCGAGGAGTGAGGTGAGAGAAGCTGCCACGCACTTCGACCACACACACGCCCCCCCGGCCCACCTGTTTCAAGCATCATCTGCTTTGACGTGCCATGGAACAGAGCCCACCACAAGCCGTGAGAGGTTATCCTACTCCTGCTACTTGCTCCAGCTCAACATCTCTCTCTCTCCACACGCATTTGCAGTGATAATCTCATTCCCGCATGAGCCCTGCTGATACCTGGAAAAGCTGGAGAGCAAGGAAAAAGATTTCCCAAATGTACATTGTTTCCGGCAAAGGGGAGGGAAGGGGAGGGGGGTTCGTCCTCTTACACACGCCTACCCACCCACACACACACACACACTCGCGCACGCATCAAACTTGTCAGTCTCTTCTTCGGGGTGTAAGCTGTGAGCTGTATTGTGTATGTGCTTGTGTTTTGTTTGACTACAAGAAGGGCCCTTCGTCCGCACGATCCTCGAAACCGTTTTCCTTCTCGAAGTTCGCTATGACACTCATGACGGCAGCACTTTGCTTATGGAAAGTAATGTGTACTCAGTAATTGGATTCTAATAGACCTGTTCCAATTTCTTCCCTCAAAGAGTACAAACACCCCAGAAACCTTCATACGCAGAAAGACCCCTTTTCATCGGCCAGAAAGACTATCTTGTTCTTGGACGTCAAGTCTTTTGGTCTAGTTCAACATCTGTTTTTGCACCTTTGCGTGTGTCTTTTTTATATCACACACCCCCTCTTATACATAATTGTCAATATCTATTATACCCCAGAGCGAGAGAGAGTAAGAGAGAGACAGAGAGATACACAGTTACAATGCTTTCAACAATATCACTACGGCAATATGCCCTACTCGCAGCAGGCGTCTTCAGTCTAGGAGCTTTCCAAACCGTCCTCGGCGCACCAGTAGACGCTCTCTACGTCGTCGGCAGACAAGACAAGGTCCTCACGCCCAAGATCAACACCGACTTCCCAGACCCGGCCCTCGTCCAGGGTGATGACGGGCTCTGGTACTCCTTCGCAACCAACGGCAACGGCAAGAACATCCAGGTCGCCAAAGCCTCGCAGATCTCCGGATCATGGGAACTCCTCGACAACGACGCCCTCCCCAACGTCGGCTGGGCCACGGGATCCAACACCTGGGCGCCTGACGTGAGGAGACTCGACAACGGCAGCTTCATCATGTACTACTCTGGCGAGGTCAAGGATGGCGGCGGACGGCACTGCATCGGCGTGGGCATCTCTGACATCGTCACGGGGCCCTACAAGCCGACGTCGGAGCCGTGGGTGTGTCCCTTTGACCAAGGGGGCGCCATCGACGCCGCGGGCTACTACGACGAGCCGACCAAGAAGCGCTACGTGGTGTACAAGGTGGACGGCAACAACGTCGGCAACGGAGGCGACTGTAACAACGGCGTCGAGCCGCTCGTGGACACGCCCATCATGCTCCAGGAAGTCGAGGCGGACGGCATCAGCAAAGTCGGCGACCCGGTGCAGATCCTCAGCCGGACGGCGGCTGACGGCCCCTTAGTCGAAGCGCCGGACCTGGTGCGCACCGAGGACGGGCTGTATATTCTGTTCTTTAGCAGCTTCTGCTTCAACTCGGACAATTACAACGTCAACTACGCGACGAGCAGGAACATCAAGGGCCCGTACCAGCGGCCATCGAGGATGCTGCTCAAGACGGGCGACTTCAACCTCACGGCGCCGGGCGGCGCGACGAGCGTTGCTGGGGGCGGGCAGATGCTGTTTCACGGTAACTGTCCCGAGACGGCGCCTCAGCGGTGCATGTATCAGACGACGTATTCGGTTACCGGCAGAGATGTCATCATCAGTTGAGAGAAAAGGCATGAAACAAGAGAGAGATGGAGAGACTTGGAAAGAGAGAGGGGAGGCGATTAATGACAACAGTAATCATATTTGATGCATGCTGGTTTTTGGTTCGTTGGGGACCAACAGCCGCGCGAAGGGAAAAAGCGTTTGGACATATTCAGCGACGCAAAGAATGCACAGCCGGAAGTCTAATCCGGGTTTGGATTTTTGTTTTTTGGGGGGTGTTTCTTCTCATCTGCGGGCGTTTGGATACATCAACATAGCGACTGGAGCTTTGAACACACACCCGTTTTATGAGACAAACGAGAAGAGAGCGAGACATGAGAGAGGGAGAGAGAGAACAAGAGAAAGGAGGTAACACCACACCAGATAGTCGGAATGGACGGAAGCAACGTCGCACGATGACGGGAGAATCGGGAATCAAGGACGAGAATACAAGATATTGGGGTTTTCTTTAGTTTCTAGTTTTGGTGAGATATACGAATCACGAACTCCTATGAATCCGTATTGAGCCAAACGTTCGAACACCTGAATGATGCAAAAAGTGACAATCTTTCAGATGTAAGACCAAAAAAGTTCGGCTCAGTAAGACAAGACAAGGTAACGAAAGAGTTTGCAAGGCACCGGTGAACAAGTCCGAAGAAAAGAAGCTCATGCCAGCACTTGCCAGCAGGGAACCCATGCGGAGTTTGGTGCAGCATTGCTTAATTCCTCCCCCCCTAATAGCAGACGTCTGGTAAAAGGGTTGAAAACCAAAAAGGGAACTCTCGACAGGTATCCGTAGACAGGCCGGGATTTGGATGATAAAGGCATTGCGACTGGGGTGTGTGTATTGTGGCTGAAGGCTGACGGGGCCAAGGATGGAAAAGGGAGAGACAGTCTGACAGAAGACGAGACCCAGAACTGATCGCCAACGAGCGACAAGCCAAGTACCGCGGTACCTTGGCCGAACCCCACTTGGGTCCCGCAGTGGGAATCGGCTGGGCCGAGCTCACGGCTTTAAGTGGAGAACCCTAATGCCCCGATGGAAGGAACCAACAATGACCAACTGCCATGGCAGGCACGCCTTTGGTTGGCACGTTGGGGGGCGGGGGGGGGGGGGGGGCTCGGGGACTCAGGCACTCAGGTAAGCGCCGGGCTACTGCTGACTGTCACTCACACTTCCAACGCTTCCAACACTCCAACAGACCAGACCAGGCCAGACCAACCAGATCAATCTACAAACGCCGTGTTCCCATTGGCACAATGATTCCTCACATTCCTGCCCCCCAATCTCTCCAAGGCCCAAGGGTGCATGCATCTCTCGCAGCCGCCCGCCGTGATCACTAACATTGCACAATGCATCCCACCAACGCCAGGCACAGGCACAAGCACACTCGCGGGCAAGGGGAAAAACCACACTATCGATCGCTTGCACCACCACATTGGGGGCAGATGGAGAGATGGCGCATCGTCCAGCGGCCGCTAACCAAATACACATCGCGGCAGACCAACAAGCTGCCGCCCTGAGGTTGTCGCGCCGCACACCGTCCTGCAAGTGCTGGGAAGTCTTTAGCGCTCTGCCGTCTTCCTCATCGCCTGTTCACCTGACGAGCTTTTCCAACGGGGGAGACACATACTCTTCTCACATTGTCGGCAAACGGCGTCTATGTAGGACACAGTTCTGCGTGACTGCTCGGGTCCAGAGTGTTGTTCCCCCTTCCCCCTTCCCCCGCTCCCCTCCATCACTTCAATAACAGTAAACCTCGGGAACCTGCGCTGGCCCATCATTGGCCGCCTCGATCCGACATCACCACACCCTCTGCCGACGCCGACACCCATCTCGAACCGTGGTCGAGCAGATGGGCGGCAGGACGACGGGCCCGTCTCCGGCTTGGGACGCCGCTCTCTACTCTATCTGGCTTCGTTTGCCAAATGCTTGCTACCTCGTAGCTTCTTTTCCCCATACATTCGGGATCCTATCCCATGGGCCCTGCGAGCTGCAGGCGACGCCAGACCATCACCGTACCATTCCAGACCATCCTGTTCCTGCATCTGCATATGGCCCCCCCGCCCCCTGCTCGAGTGAATGGTGGAGATGGGATCAGCGTTTTCTGCGAGATATATCACCTTGCTCTCCCACCTTGACTTGAGAGGCACTTACTTCTTGTTGAGCTTATTCCGACTGTTTGTGTGAAATTGTTTCGTTTGTGTTCTTGGCTTACACTGGGCAATATCTAATCCCATCTTTCGAGATATCAACTGTCTCTTTTACTATCGTTTACCTAATTACAGTTTGCAAGGCTCTGGAGTCTTTGCTCTGCTTTACTTCGACTACACTCCTTAATCCCTGCCAACCCGGCCGCATCCCACAATGGCCGCTCGATCCGCCCTCCTTCTCCTCACCACAATCGTACCAGCCTGTGTATCGGCACTTCAAGTCACGCCTAATTCGCCATGTGCGTCCTTCTGTCTGGACTCCAACGGCCTCGATGCCTCGGACCCCAACTCGTCCAACACCAAGGGCAAGGACATCACTTGTGTGGATGACGATTACAAGTCAGGGGCCGCTGGACAGAAATACCAGCAGTGTTTGAGCTGTCTCCAGGACAGCACCTTTGTTCAGGGCAATGAGAACGACCAAGACTGGTTTCTGTGTAAGTCAAGAGTCCAATCACAGTTGAGGATCAGAGGCACTGACCGACACCACCAGACAACATGAGATACTCTTTCGACTATTGCATCTTTGGGTACCCCAATGCCACCGGCGTGGGCTCCAACCCCTGCCAAACATCTACGGCATGCGGCGCGTTGGAGGCTGCTCTCACGGATGGTGAACTGGACCCGATAAAGTCATCACAGTACGCATACTGCGACGCGGATGGCGGTGCCATGCTCGGCTCAGCCTACGACAAGTGCTTGTCATGTGTAAGAGCGGGTGGTGAACATTACTACCTCTCAAACTGTAAGTAATATCTTGGTCAAGAGTTCTCCCGTAGGCACACCTCTAACATCCTCCACAGACCTCGTTGCTCTCGGAGCTGGCTGCCAGCAGAGACCAAACCCAGGCACGCTAGTCGGCCTCAACGACACCGTCTTCACAAAGGGCATCATCACCGTCGTCGACCCAAAGGATGCAGCAGATGCCGACAAAGCTGAAACTCACACCCTTCCCATGACAGCCATCGTGGGAATCGTCATCGGAGCCATCGTGGCACTCCTCCTGGCTGCCGGCTGCACCTTTATCCAGTGCCGCAAGCGCAGAGCGCGCAGAGAAGGCCGCGGCATCAACCCAGAGCTCTCTCGCCGCGCAAAGGGCCATCGCCCGGCCTCATCCCTCTCCTTCCGTTGCCAGACGCATCTCACACCGAAACAACCAAACTTCTTCTCCGTAGAAGAAGAAGAGGCGCAAAACGAGAAGTATCACTACGAGTCCATGCAGCAGAATCAACACCAACAGCAAGACATGTCCCCCAGCCCCGTATCAAAACCCAGTCTCTGGATGCCGCACAACTCCATCTCCTCCTTCACAGCCGGAGACCACATCCCCTACACAGACAAGAAACCCACCCAAAAGGAACCCCTCACCCTCGCAAACATCACAACAAGCCTCCCCATCATCCCCGTAAAAGCACACTCCCCGAAATACAACATGGCCTCTCCACAAGACGAGTACGCCACCCCCACGTCAACCACCTCCGCGGCGCCCCTCCTCTCCTTCAGACCCTACGTCCCCTCAGAGCACGGCTTCTCGACCCCGTCAATGGGCCAAGCCGCGACCTTCAGCCCGTCTGCAAACACCAACACGTATGCCTCCCCGACCTCGGGCACGACGGCGAGCCCCTTGCTAAGCCAGGCCGGCTGGCCCGCGCCTGCGCATAATCGGCACATCCACACCGAGTCGTCGCCGCCGCCCCCGTTGGCATCGGATGCGCCCAAGACTATCCCCGGCATCGTGCGGGATTTGGCGCGGCCGTTGCCAAAGAGGATTACCTCGCTGGGAGGCAGCCCCGTAGAGAGCTACAAGATCCAGGTGGCATTTCCGCCGCCGCCTCCGCCCAAGAAGAGATAGTTGTCATGTCTAATCCTATCTAATGGGCTCTTTTTGTGGTTTCATTTGTTACAAGTCACGGTCGGTAGCGAGTGGCGTTTTGGAGTAAATTTACAATATGACGGAGTAAGCGGGCACCGGAACACGAGGTTCATCATACCCAATACCAGACAATAATACCAATCCCATACAGACGCCTCACTTCATCTGATCAAGTCACTCCCATGGCCATGCATGCACTATTCATCGTACACGAATCATAATATTCCAAACAAGTCTCTTCTATGGGTATTCGTAGCCCGTATTGTTTTTTGTACCTTTGCAAAGACGAGAACTACTTTAGGAAAAAAGAAAGGACCCTTCATACTCCACGCCCAAGAAAATATCCGTGGAAAAAACGCCAATGCTGATGCATATCGTACCTCCCATTCCTTTCCTCAATGTCCCCCCATCACCGATGACCGCTTTTCCCCCACGGCGAGCTAGCCCGGCTCGCCTCCTCCGCGTGCATCATCTCGTTCTGTCCCCTAAACCAATCCGCCCCTTCGTCAAGCTCGATCCTCGAACTCCTCAATGACTCCAGATTCTCCCTCGCTTCCCGGAGTATCCTATCAATCTCCGCATTGCTCGACGGTCGCTTCTTGACGCGCGTGGTTTCATCCGCGACCGCAATCTCGTTGTCGTCGTCGAGAGCCCGTTTCCTCTTACTAAGCGGTGAGGTCCCGTTGACTTGCGGCACGGCGGCAATGCTACTGCCACCGTTAAGCGACTGTGAAAAGCGTAATCGGGCCTCGGCAGCGTGGTTGAGATCGGCAGAGACGCTCCGGCGTCGCTCGGTGCCGTCCAAGCCGAATGACCCGAGCCCTGCATATCGTTTCCCGTTGTACCGCATCTCGTTTGCGATGGACTCCGGCAGCGCTGATCCGTCGGGCATCGTAACGAGTCCCATCGCCTTCAGACGCCAGCGATCAGACACTTTGCTAACGCGCTTCTGCGGCTCTGAAGACAGTCGTGACGACGAGGAGTGGGCTGACATGGGAGGCAGCGATCGTCGGAAGTTCGTAGTGCTCTTGCCAAACTCTTCCCGTATGGCCCGTGTTTTCGCGCCGCGGGGCTTGGTGCCCGTAGTTGACTGCGATAAGGCCGTTGAAGAGCGGGATCGAGGTAGTGGCGTGTTCGCCGCAAGCGTCTCCATCGTCGGTGGGGGCCGCATGACATGGGCGGCTGCGAGTTGTTCGTCCGAGATGCCTGACAGGATGCCGGTTGCTAGCAAAGCCTCCGCCTCTGCTTGGAGGTCGGCTTGTGTGCCGTCTTTCCTGAGCTGAAGGAGCTCTCTGAATTCCTCCACAGGGTCGAAACCATTCTTCTCCAAAGCCCTTTTCTTCGCCTCGGCAACTTTAGCCGCCTTCTTCCTCTGTCTAATCTCCTCCTCCCGCTGTTCACGCTGAAATCTTCGGTACTCCTCCCTCTCTTGTCTGCGAAGTTTGGTGAGGCGAAGGTTTCTAGCAATTTCCTTCCATCGATAGAAGTACTTGACAGATAGGTTGTAGACCTGGAACTTCCGTGCTTCTGCCAGGTCCCTCTCCTCCTCCTCCCTTCTTTTCCTTTCTTCTTCCTCCCTGTGATACTGCCCAAAGGCATTTGAGACAATTTGCTCGATGATGTATTTCTCGAACTCTTGCATCAACCCGTTGTCGCCGGTAACGAACCACTTCGCAAAGTCGGCCATAACATCCTGTTTGGACCGCTGCTTCACGGGTGGAGCTTGAGGAGGTCTTGCCTGGGCGAGCGGTGAAGCTGCTGTAGGTATAGGCGAGGCGACAGCCGGAGGGAAGCTCTGCTGTACTGAGGGCGCTGGCTTCACGGCTTCCGAACTGCCTCCCTGGAAATTCAAGGAAGGCAATGGGGATTGCCCGGACCCGGCTATAGAGCCTGTAGGTGCCTGAGAGAGAACAGATGGAGCCGTCGTGGTGGGAATTAGGCTGGGAGACTGGGTTGGTGGGGGTTGAAATGTCGCGAAAGGCTTCGCTGGCTGACCGGGAGCCACCGCGCCTGGTGAGAAGGACGGTAACTGCGGCGTCGCATTTGTTTTCGGAGTGGGTTGGAAGGGACTGCTGGTAGCGGTCGGAGCCGTAGACTGTACGCCGGGATTTGATGGGAATTTGAAAGGCGTTGACGACTCTGCAGTTGTTCCCGACGTTGACAAGGGGAACTTGGGTGTCGGCGGAGTGACGGTGATGGCCGGGGAGCTCTCTATCGACGCAGCTGGCCGCGCTTGCGCCGGCGCCTTTTGTTCTGCTCCTGTACCGAAAGCCGGGGAAGGGAAAGCCGGTATGCTCGGGGCTTTGGGTTGAGAAGTGCCATTTGGTTGGTTCAGTGGACCGAATGGGTTGCTGCTAGGCGTCGTGCTCTCGGCCGCAGCGTCTGGCTTGCCAAAAGGACTCGTCTTGGCAGCAAATGGATTCAGAGCTGGTACTGCTGTTGCTGACGAGGCTGGGCCGCTTTGTTGAACAGGGGTTGCACCAGCAAACGTCGACGGAGTTGTTGAGAAAGGGTTTCCAAACGGGTTGGAATTCGTCGAAGTCGGCTTGGGGCCTTCGGTTGCTATGAGACACAATGTTAGCAGATTTCCGGTTTCGCTATGCCTACCCTCTTCGTCTTCTGCCAGTGACACTCCATCGCTAGTCATCTCGTCCTGATTGTGAACGCGATCTGAGAGCTCCTCAACCCCTGGAACGACTGCCAGTCTATCAGCCGTACCAAGTGTTGCCGTATCTGAAACCTGGCACTATGACGCTCGATCTTGACTGAAGAGGAAAGATTCGGCTGAGGAGAGTCACAATGATTTTGACGGTCGACAACGGTGCTGGCACGCAAGAGGCTACGACGGTATGGGTAGTGTGTGGAAGATTCTTTACCTTTGTCGAAAGACGGCGTTCCAGTGAGTCCTGCTGAGGTGCCTCCTTGGGGTGCTGAAACAGGAGACTTGGAAAAAGGAGAGTCTGCGTTCGTTGCCGGGTGGCTTGCAAAAGGAGCCTGCTGTGGAGGCGGCTTGAATGAAGCCGCTCCCGTCGGAAATCCCGCAGGAGCCTGTTGGCTAGCGCCCGTAGATTCGTCGGCTATTGTGCGGTGAATGATCTCAGGAAGACCACGAGAACCTCGCTTTCTCTCAACCAATCTCTGAGAGAAACTATGATGAATTCTCGGCCATGTCATGCGTTGCGACGTATCAAGATGTTGTACGGGTTCGCCCGCTGGTCCTTGGCCGTTCGAAAAGCTGAGACCATGCTGCTCGACAAACTCAATCGCCTGATTTTCTGTGTCGAAGTGAAGAAATCGGTTTAGTGTAGAGGGCGTGATGTCTTTTGCCCCGTGCCGCGGTCTGGTGTACGCCTTCTTCAGGGACCGAAGGACTGAGCGGCGGAGTTGACCCAAGTGAATCTCTGCAAAGCATGCCATTGTATAGGACACTTCACGGCTTTGCAGGATTCTAAAGTAAGTGAGGTGTGCACCCGATGTCGCCATGGACGGGCCCGAGCCCAACGGACCGTGGAAGTCCTCTGCACTCTGCAAGCTCTCGACGAGTGAGACGGCTGTTCTGATAGTATCGGATTCGGTCCAGAAGCGAGAGTCTCCCCATTCCTTTTGCAAGTTATCGAGGATATTGGGAGTATTTGCACTGAAAAGCAAATGGTACGCCCTAAACTCGGCCTCGTTTTCGCAAACAACACCTTGGGGCTTGCAGTCGTCGTAGGCAAACATGAGCGAAAGCAACGCCTTGCCCAGCTGCTCAATTTCTTGTTGCTCTGAAAAGTCTTCCGGCGCGAATCCCTCCTGAGAAAGCAGATGTAAAGCTGTAACGTGAAACCTGGCAATCGTCTCGAGACAGTATACTTGGTCCTTCATCTCTTCGGGGGCCATTGTCGAATGGAAGATGAAGTCCCTGCGAATCGCACGTGTTCTATCCCACAGAAAACCATGAGAAGAAGGCAACTTGTCGTCGATCGGTAAAAGGTCGTCGATGAGGTAGTCGAGCGTCCTTCTGAGGGCTGCTGTAGATCTGACATCCATGGGTAACGGAGCCTCCTGGCCAGCTGCGGAACGCGCCAGCTTCTTGACCATCTTTGATGTGTTGGCGAAAGTGGTCCGGGGGTCCTTTTCGGCAGACTGAACATCGAATTCGGTGATGCGAGTAATCTTCTCAAAGTCGGGGCACATCGCGTCGCAGATGCCTTTGAAGTCAATCGCGTCTTCCAGTCGCTTTGGCTTATCGGGATCGTCAATCAAGCCGGCGCGCATCAACGAAGTCCTAGCCCGATCGCGATATGTCTTGTATTCTTCCCTGAACTTGGCCATCGCGGCCTTTGATGTCGTGTTTCCTGGATCGGACGGCCATTTTGGCGGCGCGATTCCATCCTGTCGTAGTTGTGAGAAGATTTGGTCGGAGTATGCTGTGCCGTCACCGTTTGATTCGCCATTCGCATCGTCCGTTTCGTAGTCGGTAGAGCCCGAGCTGTGATTGTTGTTGTTTTGGGTACCGAAACCACCGCGCGACTGGGTGGTTCCGAACCCCTTCGGCGCCTTCGCGCCATTGGGCTTCGCGCCTTGCGCTTTGGGACCCTTCTTCTTCGAGTCGCCTTGTGAATCTCCCTTCGTGTTTTTTCGTCGTCGGTTATCGTCTGAGCTGGCGCCATCGAACGGGTTGATACCCTTCCGCTTTGTCGCAGGAGTCGTCATGTCGGGAGGTTGGTTATTCAAGTTGCGTGTCGACCGCTGCCCACCGCCGGCGCCCGCTCCATTGAGGCCGAAAACGTTCTTGCTCGCGTCAGAACGACTTCCAAAGCCACCAGTTGATGTGCCTCCGAATGGCGATAGCTTCTTGTCGGGTCTGCTTGGAGGGAAAGAGACCGACGTCATGTCGGGTTAACGAAAGGAAACTCTAAGAAGGAAACGACGAGGCAGACAAGAACCAAGTGGAGAACTAGGATGGGCTGGTCTGCGTTTGCCGCGTTTTTTTCCGGCGTGTATGGCGTCTAAAGGCGTTTAAAGTAAGCGAAGCTATGACCCACAGCTGGGTGCGTTCCTGCCCACTGAGCCAGGGGTGTGGGGGATAAATCCACGCCCTCTGTGTGAGATGAACTTCTCAAGGTTCTCTTCCCACAGCAGGAGCATTCCTCACATGCACTTTCGAGTGTTCCTTCCGGAAGAGAGATTTCGGCAAATCTTTCAAGCTACAAAGAATTTTCATGTTGGTAGAAGCGACAAGTGTGAATAACTGTACGCAAAATCATTAGCCGCCGGACACTAAGGACTCAGCTTGTGGCAATTTTCAGATCAAGTTGGAGAAAATGATGGTTCATAAAACATCAATTTGTTTATCATAACACTATGGGGCTCAGATCTAATGCAAAGTCTGGCACTCAGTGAGGGTATCTCGATGACCGGAATCTAGGCTGTGCCGAATGCTTCTGTATCTGGGCGCAAACACACCTAAACCCTCTTGGTGTTGAGTGAACGGAACCGAGCTGGGCCAAGACCCTGTCTGATCTCGTCCAGTTGCTCAAGACCAGTCTGCGGCCTATTCTTCTTGTTTGTCCGTTTTCCAGGCCTAGTGTAGTTGCCCAGAAAATCATCCATGATGCTGTCAAAGTCGCCTCTGGTGGGTCCGGTCACACTGGTCGCCGTTGATACTTCCGAGACAGATGCCATGTCGTCACCCATCTCATTTGTGTACTCCTCCTCAATCTTGTCGAACCTGGCGTCCAGAAGGGTGAGTTGTTCCGTCCTGACCATGGCGGACGAGGTCATAGAAAAGGCTGATGGGTTGGTCAACGCTCCCTTTCTCTTCTTCTTCCGGCCACCCATCGTTGTCGTGGTCCAAATAGAGGACTGCAACTCGGACGGGGTGTCCTTGGCCGGCTGGGCCTTGCCGCCCTTTTGGTCTTTCTTGAACTGCTTGAAGTCTTCCATCCAGTCTTCGTTCTGGTGTTCTGGTAATGCCTCCCCTTCAACAGGGACCAGCTGCGGCACTGCTCCATCCTTGTACTCCTTGTTTGGCTTGGCAGTGTCGTCTGATTCCCAACCCTCGTCCTCGTCGTCGTAGTCGTATTGGTCCTCGAATTCGTACTGATCGACTTCCCGCGAGTCCTTGGACAGCTCTTTGAAAATGTCGTCCTCATCATCCACATACGCGTCGTCCTCCAATGCCTCCAACACCTCCCTCAACCGGGGGTCCATATCGGGCTGGAATCCAGCGATGGCATCGGGGACATCCACCTGTGTCTCGTAGTTGGTTCGCGGGAGGTTTTTGTTGGGGAGGAGGGAGGGATCCAGCAAAGCCTCGCTCTTTTGCTCCAGGTCCATCTGTCGCAACGCATCTTCGAGTGATTGCGTCTGCTTTCCCTTTCGGTCATTGTTTGCGGCACCCGAGGCCTCGACCCAGACGGCCTCACCACCTCCAGAGTTCAAGCCGCGCAGATGCTGCATGTAGTCGTACTCAGTGTCATCGTAGTAAACGCCGTATTCTGCCGCCTCTCCTTCGTTTGCGCGTATGCTGCCTGCTTCCGACCCAAATTCAGATGCAAGGTCGCTAAGATGCTTGCTCTTCGACGGCCCACCCTTCTGAGGCACCGGGTTGAGCACCATCGAGGGCGCATTTTCGTCGTGGATGAGGGGGTCATTTTGCGGTCGGTGGACGAGGGTGAAGTGCTGCGCACTCTTCTTGTCGCTGGAAAGGTTGTCAGCTACCACACCTGAATAATAATCAATGTCAGCTTACAATTTCTTTCCCTTCGTCATCTTGTCTGATTTGGGGGGTTTCGGGTAATGGTAGACTGGCTTGTCGATTTGCTTGATGGGTGCGCAAGAGCGAGAGATTCAGTGGGACGCACAGATGAGCCCCGCGGTCGCAAAAAAAAATCTCTTATCGATAAACGCCTGAAATCACTTTTTTGCCCCGCTGATTAATCGTCGCGGGGCACTGCTATTCTCTTCAAGGCGGGCACTTGCGACGGGCTCCCACTATTACTCATTCTGATTCACAAAGCAGCTTTGGGAGTCGTTTCTTTCCACTGCGCATTTTTCACCTTATTTTCCAAAGTAGCGAGAGACGAGATATCACCGCGAAGATGGTGCACGCCAAATCCAAGAAGACCGCCGGGCTGGGCAACGCCCTGATGAACGATCGCTTTGGCAAGGGTCGTGGCGCAGACAGGAAGAAGAGTACCATCACCAGAGTGAACCACGCCACAGGAGAAGAGGTAATGAGGCAACGCCGGGCTTTCTCGTTCCGATGTTTTCAAGACAAATGCTCACACTTTATCAGTACCTCACGAACGAGCGACAAGAAGCGTCATGGGTCAAAATGCGATCGGTTACCGAGCAAGGTGCTCTCGACGAGTTCCTCGCGACCGCAGAGCTGGCGGGCACGGACTTTACGGCGGAGAAAATGAACAACGTTAAGATCATCCACACCGACCAGAAGAACCCGTATTTGCTATCTGGAGCAGAGGAAAGGGCCATCATTGGCAAGCAAAAGGAGCACAGGGGACGCTTGACAGTGCCGAGAAGACCAAAGTGGGATGCGTCCACCACACCGGAGGAGCTGGACAGACGGGAGAGAGAGAGTTTCCTTGACTGGCGCCGAGGCCTCGCCGAACTTCAGGAGAACAACGATCTCCTCATGACGCCGTTCGAGCGTAACCTCGAGGTGTGGAGGCAACTTTGGCGTGTCATTGAACGATCGGACTTGGTCGTCCAGATTGTCGATGCCAGGAACCCGTTGCTTTTCAGATCCGAGGATTTGGAGCACTACGTCAAAGACATCGACTCAAAGAAGGAGAACCTGCTGCTCATCAACAAGGCAGACATGCTCACGCTGACACAGCGTAAGATGTGGGCCAAGTACCTGAAGGAGAACGGCATTGCGTACAGATTCTTCTCTGCGCATCTTGCGAAAGAACTGTTGGAGGCTATGGAGAGCGATGACGACGACGAGTCAGAGGAAGAAGAACCGCAGGCTGGCAGCAGCTCCAAGGCTGCCACGAAGGAGGCCGCATCTGCCGAGGAGGAGAGCTCAGAGGAGGAAGAAGAAGATGAGGAAGAGAAGGATGACAAAGAGGAGGGCGGCGCAGAGACTGCTCAGCCTGAGGTCTCGCAGCCGGAGGCCGAGGCCGACGTTGATGATGAAGACACGAGAATTCTTACGGTCGAGGAGCTGGAGGACATCTTCCTCAGCCACGCTCCCGAGAACGCAGGTATGATGAGAACCCCAAAACGTGATTTGGATTGGAAACTGACGGTGAATCATCAGAGCCTGGACACAAGTTGCAGATTGGTCTTGTCGGATATCCCAACGTCGGAAAGTCTTCCACCATCAACGCCTTGATTGGTGCCAAGAAGGTTTCAGTTTCGTCAACGCCAGGAAAGACAAAGCACTTCCAGACAATCCACCTCAGCGAGAATGTTGTCCTGTGCGATTGTCCTGGTTTGGTCTACCCTAACTTCGCAAACACCAAGGCCGACCTGGTCTGCAACGGTGTATTGCCCATCGATCAACTGCGAGAGTTCCAGGGACCGGCTGGGCTGGTCACCAGGAGGATACCCAAGACCTTCTTGGAAGCCGTCTACGGAATCAAGATCAGGACCCGCGCTGCCGAAGAAGGAGGCACAGGCATCCCTACCGCTCCGGAATTGCTCCGTGCATATGCCAGAGCCAGAGGCTTCCAGACCCAGGGACTGGGTCAGCCTGACGAGTCAAGAGCTTCTCGATACATCCTCAAGGACTACGTTGCCGGAAAGCTCCTGTACTGTGAGCCACCACCAGGAACAGTTGACGGCCCCGAGTTCAACGCAGAGCTCTACGACGAGACGCATCTCCCCGAGAAGCGGCGCCAAGCCCTCAGCACGTCTCTGGACACCATGCCCATTGTCGATGACGATATTTTGATAGCTCCCTCAGACTTTGCAGCCCTACCAGCTGGCCCTAAGTCCAAGCAGATTGACAAGGGCTTCTTTGGCCCCAACAGCAGCGGCGGCCACACCAAGATGCCCTTCAGCCACAAGTATACGGAGCAGGGCCAGAAGCACTTGAGTGGAAGAAAGGCAAGGGCAATGATTTCTCTGGAGAGCGGAGTCGACCCCAAAGATGTGAAGCTGTCGTCCGGAAAGAAGCACTTCAAGGGAGGTGCGAAGACCAGGAAGGGTAAGAAGAAGGCCGATGAGGATGACGACTAGATACCTTGGATGAACAAATTGCAATGAAAAAAAAAGTTGAATGCCTTTACGTTACGAGTACGTTCTGAGGTAATGCGTGAAACGATTCAGAATGTAACGAACGTGAAAATTAAGATTGAAACTATGTCAACGTATTGAAGCCCGGGAGGACAGATATCTCAGGACTGACAAGATGTGTTGGTGAGATGTCGGTGAGGTTGAGTTCTGGAGAATAGACAGGAAGACTAGGGTGGATCCCAGAGAAGTTTAGCGCGTTCCGCACCCGACGCGTCTTTTTGACAAGCATCGCGTAAAGTGCTTCCGCCCGCTGCCCGCACAGAACTCGTGTAACTTGACGATCTGCTATCTGCACCTCCCAACACCCCAGCCAAAAAACCGCTATGCCCGCTCAGAAGCAGATCACGAAGCCAGAGGAGGCTGGCGAGTCCTCGACGTCCGCAGCCAAGAAGGCTCTGACTGCGGCGTCAAATGGCGTAGCTACCTATGAGCTTCCCTGGTCAGTCATTCTAGTTTCCTCAAACTTTCTAACCCAACTGCTAATGCGCGCGCTTCAGGGTCGAGAAGTACCGCCCTGTCTTCCTCGACGATGTTGTTGGAAACACCGAGACGATTGATCGCCTAAAGATCATTGCAAAGGAGGGAAACATGCCGCACGTCATCATCTCGGGTATGCCTGGTATCGGAAAGACCACCAGTGTCCTCTGCCTAGCGAGGCAGTTGCTCGGAGACACATACAAGGAGGCTGTGTTAGAGCTCAATGCAAGTGACGAGAGAGGTATGGAAGCAAGCATGTCCTTGATTTGGCATACCCAATGCTAACGCCCGAGTACAGGTATCGACGTCGTTCGCAACCGCATCAAGGGCTTCGCTCAGAAGAAGGTCACCCTGCCCCAGGGCCGCCACAAGCTCGTCATCCTCGACGAGGCCGACAGCATGACATCAGGCGCCCAGCAGGCCCTGCGCCGGACAATGGAAATCTACTCCAACACGACGCGCTTCGCCTTCGCCTGCAACCAGTCCAACAAGATCATCGAGCCGCTGCAGTCAAGATGCGCCATCCTCCGCTACGCCCGACTCACCGACGAGCAGGTCGTCAAGCGTCTCCTGCAAATCATCGAAGCCGAAAAGGTGGAATACAGCGACGACGGCCTCGCGGCGCTCGTCTTCAGCGCCGAGGGCGACATGCGGCAGGCCATCAACAACCTGCAGTCGACGTTTGCCGGCTTCGGCTTCGTGTCGGGCGACAACGTCTTCAAGGTGGTGGACTCGCCGCACCCGATCAAGGTGCAGGCGATGCTCAAGGCGTGCTACGAGGGCAACGTCGACTCGGCGCTCGACAGCCTGCGGGAGCTCTGGGACCTGGGGTACTCGAGCCACGACATCATCAGCACCATGTTCAAGGTCACCAAGACGATCCCGACGCTGAGCGAGCACTCCAAGCTCGAATTCATCAAGGAGATTGGCTTCACGCACATGAAGATTCTGGAGGGCGTGCAGTCGCTGCTGCAGCTGAGCGGCTGCGTTGCGAGGCTCTGCAAGATCAACATGGATCCGAAGAAATTTGAGGGTCCCTCAAAATGAAAAGAAAGTTGGCAGCCGATAGAAGACTCGCTGCTGGCGGGACATAATGACTTGCATGATCCGGCGTTAGGGGTTAAATCAGGTCTGCGGTACCTTTTTTCTGTGAAGCTCGAAAAACAAAAAGTCAAGGATTTGAGTGTCCAATGTTATACAATACTATGAAATACAGGTTGAGACCAATAATCCTTTGGAAAGTGATCAATTTCGGTTTATCCGCTTGTGATGGTGACTGTTCATTTCTTCTCGTTGGGATTCTCATAAAATTCCCGTTCAAATCTCTCCCATTTGGCCCTATCCCTCAGAATGCGCTTCTGCAATCTGACCCGGGCCTCATATTCTCGTAACCTGCTGTCCGCCTCCAGCATGCTTCCCAGCACCATGGCTGACATTTGCATATAGCTGCCGTGGTCATGTCAGTCTCGGCTCATGCAATCGTACGACGAAATGAGCGAGGGAATGAACAACAGTGCGAGATAGGAAAAGGGGGGAGGGGGAATGGTAGTGGTTTGAGTTGTTGTCGCGTGAGAGAGAGAGAGAGAGGTGACGTATTACATCTTGAATTGAATGGTGAGGCCCTTGTACAGAGGCGAGAACTTGTACGCAAAGGCGCCCACAACGGCGGCTCCGAGACCCCATCTCGCGGCGCCGATGAAGGCTCCGCGGGTGGCTTCCCACGCGGCGTCGTCGGCCTCGGCGCTCTTCATCTTGTCGTGTGTTGCCATTCTCCTGGCATTGTCGACCGGGCGCCGGTCACTTTACGTTCAGTGTCTGCGGAGAAGGAGTTGATGACGTCGGAGACCTCAGTGGTCCGTGAAAGTGTGCGTATGAAGGTGAGGGAGCGACGTTGAGAGGTGCAATTGAAGATATTCAGCAATGAGAAATCTCGAGGCCTTTGATTGGTGAGATCGTACGATTTTCACCGAGCGGGCTTCCTATAGCTACCTTGTCAGGCGTGAAAGGTGAAGCTCTCTCTTTTTTTACTC